GCCATGATATAGGTGCAATGCTTGGAAGACACCTATGATGGAATACTGATAGCCTAGGAATATGGTCTACTCTTACTGGGCATGTTTCACGCAGTCAAATGCCGCCTTAAGGTCGAGGAATACAACTATTGTGGTAGGCTGAATTTTGTGTCTATGTTGGAGGACCTGAGGAAGAAGGAATATATATATGGTGCATGCATCTACGTGAAGGTCTGAAAGCAGCCTGGTTTTCTCGAGTCTGCTGTTGACGAGTTCTAGTTAGTGGTGTAAGTGTTGTTGAAGCTGATAATATTTTAGACAGTATATTAGTGTAACTGATTGATGTATGATTGATTGTGAGAAGAGGACTTGTGTGTTTTGTTATGGACTGTGACAATGATTGATTGAGACGAGTGGGATGTGATTACGTCCAGTTGTGGAATACTAGCCATCAGATGTGAGTGAATTTGACTGGTAAAACTGGTGGACGACCATGAGTTTGAATCTGTGCATGGTGAATGTATCAATGCGGTTGATATGTATTGTGTGTGGTATGTATGTATGTATGTATTGATGCGATGATGTTGATGTGTGGTGATTTGTGTTGTGTATTTGTTTTGACAGTGACTGTAGTGGTGTGAGTTTGTAATGATGCCCTTGCTGGGCAGAACACAGTCAATGCATTGGACGATGTTTAATCAGCAGGGCTAAATAGAAAGTGAGCTGTTTAGTTAATCCCAGGTCGGTGTATATTACGAGACCTGTTTCATGTGCAGCTGAAATGTTATTAGTGATGTTTGTTATTTGTGCATGTGTCTGATGATGATGATGAGTGGTGGCGAATGTTGTGTGTTGTGATAATGTGTTTTGTAGTAGTGTGTGGTTTATTGGTGTGTGTGTGTGTGTGTTTGAATGAGAGTGAGTTGTATGTTTTGATGTGTTGTTGTATATTGTAAACTATGATTGGTGATAGTTGTTGGTGTTGTTGGAATGTGTGATGATGACAATACTGTGTGTGTGTGTGTGTGTGTGTGTGTAAGAGGTGATGACTACTGATTGTTCGGAGAAGTCGTAATTGGACTTTGATGAACGATTGAACTAATCAATTGGTCCTTCTGAATTTGGTGTTTTCGCATTGATTGTTGTTAGTGTGTTTTTTTGATGGTGCGTACTTAGTGGTTGTGTTATGAATGTGTGTTTGTGTTTGTTTATTTTTCAGGTAGAGTGGTGAAGGAGAGATTGTTGTGTTGGTAATGTGCGTGTTATTATACGGAAGAGGAAGGAAGTTGGTGATCATGTATATGTGAGTAAGTGTAGAATGAAGCGTAAGTTTAATGACTGTTGTGGTGTTGTGTGTACATTTTGCTGGTATGTATGTTTGCATGTGTATAGTTATGTATGTGTGTAGTGTAATGTGTATGTGTTAGGTAGTGGTGAGCATGCGGATGCATGTAGTAGTGCTTGGTATGTGGTTATGTAGTTTGTTTGTATACAATTAAGTATGTTTGTTGGTGTGCATATGTGCATGTAGTATGTAGTAGTGCTGGATGTTTGTTGTCAGTGTTTTGACTAGTAGATCGCGGTTTGTGAAGTATGTGATAGTGAATGGAGTGAGTTTTTAGTGTTTGGTATTGTTGTATTGGTGTGTTATTAGTGATGGCGGTTGCATATTGAGTTGTTTTGTTTGATAGTCAGTCAGTCGGTTACGATGTGGAAGTGTGTGCGTGCGTAGGTCAGTTGAAGTCGCCATACGATATGAGCACAGAGAGATGGAATTGTAAATTGGAATCCCATAGAAGTAGTAGTAGAGGTAGTAGAAGTATTCGCAGTAATGAAAAAGATGAGTGAGCGAAGATATGGTTGGAGAAGTATGTCTCGGAGGAATGAATCAATTTAAGAGAGAAGAGGAGAAAACAGTCATGAGGAATTGAGGAGATTAGAATTTGAGAGAGAGAGAGAGAGAGAGAGAGAGAGCGGAATGGATGCAGCTGCGCGATTGTAAACGATTTTGAGCCATGTAATTGAGGGTATCTAACGACCGGTTACTATGTGATCTCGGGGGCAAGAAGCAGGTAGTCTACATCTAATAACCTTGCTCAGTGGAGATGTCAGTGAGTTGATGGATTTGTGCGATGTTTATGTTTGGCCACCCGTAGCTTTCTTCTCGCAGCGTACCGGTTGACCGGGTACCATGGCTGTCCGAGGCATTCGGCAGTCGGACATTGATCTATTGACCTGTGATCATGACCTAATACCGTTATCCTGACAAAAGCATTGCTTAGTGGACTGTGCCATGATATAGGTGCAATGCTTGGAAGACACCTATGATGGAATACTGATAGCCTAGGAATATGGTCTACTCTTACTGGGCATGTTTCACGCAGTCAAATGCCGCCTTAAGGTCGAGGAATACAACTATTGTGGTAGGCTGAATTTTGTGTCTATGTTGGAGGACCTGAGGAAGAAGGAATATATATATGGTGCATGCATCTACGTGAAGGTCTGAAAGCAGCCTGGTTTTCTCGAGTCTGCTGTTGACGAGTTCTAGTTAGTGGTGTAAGTGTTGTTGAAGCTGATAATATTTTAGACAGTATATTAGTGTAACTGATTGATGTATGATTGATTGTGAGAAGAGGACTTGTGTGTTTTGTTATGGACTGTGACAATGATTGATTGAGACGAGTGGGATGTGATTACGTCCAGTTGTGGAATACTAGCCATCAGATGTGAGTGAATTTGACTGGTAAAACTGGTGGACGATCATGTGTTTGAATCTGTGCATGGTGAATGTGTCCATGCGGTTGATATGTATTGTGTGGTATGTGTGTATGTATGTATGTATTGATGCGATGATGTTGATGTGTGGTGATTTGTGTTGTGTATTTGTTTTGACAGTGAGTGTAGTAGTAGTAGTGTTGGGAGTTTTTAATGATGCCCTTGCTGGGCAGAACACAGTCAATGCATTTGGACGGTGTTTAATCAGCAGGGCTAAATAGAAAGTGAGTTGTTTAGTTAATCCCAGGTCGGTGTATATTACGAGACCTGTTTCATGTGCAGCTGAAATGTTATTAGTGATGTTTGTTATTTGTGCATGTGGCTGATGATGATGATGATGAGTGGTGAATGTTGTGTGTTGTGATAATGTGTTTTGTAGTAGTGTGCTGTTTATTGGTGTGTGTGTGTTTGAATGAGAGTGAGTTGTATGGTTTGATAGATTGTTGTATATTGTAAACTATGATTGGTGATAGTTGTTGGTGTTGTTGGAATGTGTGATGATGACAATACTGTGTGTGTGTGTGTAAGAGGTGATGACTACTGATTGTTCGGAGAAGTCGTAATTGGACTTTGATGAACGATTGAACTAATCAATTGGTCCTTCTGAATTTTGTGGTTCAGCATTGATTGTTGTTAGTGTATTTTTTCGATTGTGCGTACTTAGTGGTTGTGTTATGAATGTGTTTGTTTATTTTTCAGGCAGAGTGGTGAAGGAGAGACTGTTGTGTTGGTAATGTGCGTGTCATTATACGGAAGAGGAAGGAAGTTGGTGATGATTTATATGTGAGCTGTTTATATCAGTTTTTGATGGTAGGGAATTGAAGAATTTTATGTTGCTCGGTTGAAAAGAGGTGAACATGTCCAATCCTTTCATCGGACACCTTGTGAAAACTAATGGATCGATGACAATTAGAATCAGCCTCCTTACTTCTGTATAAGATGTCTCAGGACAGTGATGTCTTGTTATAGCGTTTTCAATGACCTGCAATTTTTTTTAGAAAAGCAAGAGCTACGTACTAGAAGTAACGCATTTTATTTGGAAGTTCCTAATTTCTTCATGTTTTTTTCTAGCTACTTCTTACCCGTAACCAAGTTGTTTCCGTTTCCTTAATATTTTGAATCACAAATGATGTTAACTTACACATTCCATTCTATCACGAAATCCTTTTTTTCTCACTGATTTTTATTGATATTCGTGAATTGCCTATAACTTGTGACAGCTATATTTTCATTTGTTTGTGGAAACTACAAGTGCGGCTTATGTTGTATTCGACTTTCTGCTATCGTTCTTCATTATGGTACTTCTGTCACCCTTCGCTGCTTGACCGTTCTGGTATACCTTGTCACACGTTGCTGGTACTTATTGTGTTAGCGTTTTGAAGAAAGATCGTAATTAACTTTGTTTTGTTGTTTATGCAACCATTATTTACACGGAAAGGTGATCTGAAATTAGATCAATTCCGCTCTGTTTCTTACGTTTTGATAACACTTCAGAAGTTTTTCATTGAACCAAAATGTCAACCACTGTTTCTTCATTGAACATTATTTATATTTCATCATAATTAAAATAACACCTGTATTGAACTAGATTTATTAATCGACAGACGTAATGTTTAAATAAATGTTTTTAATTCCTAATATAATGACATGTTTAAATTATTTGTGTTTGGCATTCATTATATGAGGATCCCGTGCGGTTGGTTTTACGAAATTATATTTAATTAGGAATGTATGCCTATTGAGATCTCAGGTTTCGGTAGTACCCATTTGACTGTACTGCGATAATAATCTGTACAGTTCATGTCGTCATTGGTAGTATAGTAAAGCAAGTAAACTGAATGATTGCCGAACTACAATTTAGTTCAGGTTACTTCACTACTAAAATAACCGCTCGCTGACCAAGCACCTAAAATTTAGCACGTAAAGAATGATCTTTCTGGATACGGTTTAAATAAAATGCCCAGTTCATAACTGCGAATGATCCTCAACCTTACAACTACCACCACCTTGTGATATATATTCTAAACCAATGGCCAATGAATGGATAACACATGCAGCGATGCATCGCTCATCTGATAGTAGTAGTAGTGTATTATCGTGTTGGAAACCGTTGTACTCAAAGAAATTAATAACCAATACGTATGCATGTGTATTTCAAATCAATGTAAATATATTTATATATATATATATTTATAAATATATATACACACATTATATTATGATTGCTTATATATATATATATATATATATATATATATATATATATATAACTCCTTTCAAAAGAAACAATTAAACTGACAGTGAAGAAGAAGAAGAACAAGGAAAACAAACAAACATTGATAACAAACAAACAAAAAAAACAATTGAAGCAAAACATTACCGTTTGCTTTATTTACATTTCATTCGTTGTAGTTATTCTAAATTTATAAAAAAAATGGAGTTATTCATATATATAAAAGAAAAGAAGGTTTTCACTTTCTCTGTTGTACATTGTGAACAGAGAACTAGCGTTGAACAACAACAATATTAATGATAGTAATAATAATTAGTACACATATTGTGATAAAACCATATGAATTTGGTTAAATGTAGAATTTATGTATATATATATAATATGAAAAAAAGTGACAAAGTTGTTCGGAGTATTCATCATTATATAAAAACAACAACGATAGCAGTACTATTACTACCACTACTACTATTAGTAATAAATAGTAGTAGCAGTAATAATAATATTCAGATAATGAAATCGCATGTACGCATCTTCATTTCAATATAAGGTGTGTTAATATAATAATGTGTGTGTATGTGCCTACATTTTGTTGACTTTTTCAAACTGTTTGTGGATTTCCTTTACCCAAATCTATGATAAAATTAAATGAGAAAAAAAACGGTAAAATTTTAAACATTCAATGTTATGTAACAACATAAGAAGGAGTTAAAGTGAAAATAATCATGCTGTTAGGTTGTCTAGACCAACTTTCTAAAAGTATGAAGAAATTGTTCAAACGTTCACTCACACACTAGAATTATGAATATTCTAGAAGAAGCATAATTGGAGCAGAAACATTTTCGGGAACAGATTTCGTAATAGAGTATAATTGAGTTAAGCTAAGAATTACGATTCAAGTTCATGGAATCGAAAAAAAAGTCAGTCTGACGTAACAAACACTTTTCTCTATGATTTGAGGTTGCTAGCAGCTGGGGAAAGATATTCACAAAATAACTGGATTCATTGTTATTCTTTATTATTTGGACTAAAGCTAAATGCATCAATGTGGTCGACTGTTAAAGTTATACAGACTTAGACAGAAAAGTAACTAACTAACTATTTGAGTGGTATGTCCAGGCTTTATCAATAAAGCTGAATAACTTCTAAGAAATCATTGACTAAGTGAATACTTAGTATTTAAATCATGAATCGATTGTTGTTAGATCACCGTTAGAAAGCACTGTACAGCCGTTCCATCTAATGGGACTATTCAGCAATGCATATCCACGAAAATAGAACACAGGACCTTTGGTCTCGCACGCGAACGCTTAACCTTAAGACCACTGAGCCAGCATCCAACGGTGTCAATGTCTAACTTTGATCAATTCAAGGTTTTGCTCAACCTCACCCATTGTCTTCGGTAGTTACTGTCTCCACCCGACAGGGTTGAGCTCCATTTGTCACGTGCATATTGATGTACTCGATTTTCAGTCACACCGAATCAGCATCGTTCAAACGGATAATGTGATTAGGATAGGCTGTCGATCAATGCAATTTTATTGGTTGAAAATTAAGTACATATACATATAAATAGCTAGGAATGTTGGTTTTATCTATTTCTACGAGCAGTAAAGATCGTTGAGTTTCATTGAAATCATGAACTGATCCATGACAAATCATCGTAGTATGTGACTCATCAACACTGTGCATTTGGTCTCGAGCGCTAACGCTTAACATTTTTGTTATTAAAGAAGAACGGTACATTTTATTTATACAAAATTCAACAAGAAAAAGAATTTATACTCACTAGCATGAACACGTTTTACATGACCTTCTAAGTATTTTTTCAAACGAAAAGTCTTGGGACAATGTGGACATTGAAATTTATGATCTGAAATTAAAATATTTATATATGTGAAGAATAAACTAATTTCAACAGTAAAATGAGTGTGAATATAGAGTTGTGAAGATTGTTAATTTTTAATTGAAATGAATTGATCAATATAAGACGAGTACCATAAGAGACCTGAAAGCCAATGAATAGCCCAATAGTAAGTTGATAGTCCCATAAAAATACTCATGTTTCCTATAAAAAGTCTAAACTACAAGGTAAAGGCTCCAATACTTTCAACCAATTCTTTTCTGCTTCTAGTTAAAGGAAGAGTCCCTAAATGCTCTGGTATGGACAAGTGGGGAGAGTCTGTTCTCCTTCTTCAACTGTTCTCATATAGCCATTGCCAGGGAAGTTCTACTCACTGTCTTCTCATGGAACAGATACTGTTTACAAAACTGAGCGAACGAAAAGAGAATGTCCAACTGGAGCTTAAACTGGGTTAGCGGATATAGAGGATCTACCTAGGGAGTTGGAAAAACCGGGATTACAAACCAAAGGTGTGCATAGGGCTCCACGATCCTCCAAGGAACGAATGGCGTATAAACCTATTGTCAGCCGATAGCTACCATGGGATTGCATCTTCTGAAGTTGTTCCAGTGTCTTCTTGTGGATTAGACTTTTGGATCAAAGTCTCAGTGAGTGGTGGTGCTCTAGGTAAACTACTTGCTTAGGCTAGGGTGTCCGTCAACACAGTATTTCAACCCCATTATTCACAAATCCAATAATTTGTGTTGCGCTCAAATATTTCGGTGCCCCTATGTACCACCACCATGAATATGTTTAAATAAGTAAAAGACACTAGGAAGCGGCTAAGATATATATATGTATTGATGTTGCCAAAGAGAGTAGTAGCAAAACAATATTTACAAAAAACAAAACTCATTAACGATGAAATTATAAACATATACATATATATTGATCAATTATTTACTAACCTTTGTGAACAATATTTGAATGATAACGTAGTGCACAATGTGAATTAAATGAACGACCACAAAGTTCACATTTTAATAAATTGCCTAGAAAAGTGAGATGAAAAAAAAACACACATCATTTATGATACATAAAAAAATCACTGTGTATGCTTAAGTACGACATTATCATAATAATTTCAATAATAATAATAATAATAATAATAATAATAATAATAATAATATTTATGTTAAATAGAATAATGTCAAAGGTATTTGCGAATTTCATTGTCATTTAGATCAACTTCAAATGAAATTGTGACTTAGTAAATTTTAAAGAAACTGATTGGTTGAAGTTAGAATGATGAAATCTCAGCATGAAAACAAAAGGTTCAATTGGCTTTTGCCAAATTGTGTCACTTATAGCGTAGGAAAGATATACCTCTACTAACCAAAGGATGAGTTGACTCCGTCCTACTCATACGGATGAGAAACATGCCCAGTGAGAGTAGAAGATATTCATAAGTTACTGGTTGTCGAACATGGCTGTCTTCGAAGCACGACTCATAAATCCTGGGACAACCGAGTAAGCAATGCAGTTGTTAGGAAATAGGTACTAGGTGTAAGGATGGCAGATCAATAGATGTGGTATTGAAACTTCATCAGTTGAGGTGGTTGGGATATGCTTAGGTTGAAAGAAAGCTAACGGCCGCCAAGACAAAACATGGCACAAATCCATGAAGTCACTGACAATGCAGTGAGTCATCTTGGTAAGTGTGGACTACCTGTTCGGGGCCCGCGAGATGATAGTATTCGATGGTTAAAGACCTTGAACGACATGGCTCAAAAACGTTTGCAATGGCGCAGGTGCATTCATTCTCTATCTTTTCTCAAATCCTAATCATCTGGATTCTTCATCACCTTAATCTTTCTCTTTTTAAGTTTATTTCACTAGAATATACTTTTTGAATAATATCTTCAAACCCTGATCTCTCTGATTACTGCTAATACTAATATGAGATAAAAATTGACAATTGCGTCTCTGTGCTAATGTGCTATAGCAACTTGAACTGATTTACATACGTACGAAGTTCTATGTTGTAATTGACTGACTCTTTATCAACTGAACCATGAAGTACTGAATCAGCAAGTCGTCTCATTTTTCTTAATTTTTAATACTTAACAACTAACTACAGAGCATTTTTATGCAATTAAACTGAAGATCACCATGGGTCGTATAGACTATAGTGTAATTGAGTGCATTCACAACATAATAAACTGCAAAAGTTACCATCTTCGACAAATATAATTTTGACAGGTTATTTTCAATGACATTCACCAGTCCTAAGAATAAAACTCTAATTATTACTATTATTTAGTCCATAATTAGGACCTTCTTTTTTTTGAGGGACATTTTGCAAAAAATTGAAAAGACCCAAATTATTTTGCTATTGCTTATATATTTGATTGAAATGTAATAAGCCTTGATTGGTCATAATATAAGCATCTTATACGGCGGACTGGCCTCAACATATAACCACCATTATGAGACAAGTTATTATAAACTGGATAGGATGTGGCTAGCAGTGTGTGTTCCTGAGGACGCACGTTTCGTCCTATTTGCACAAGTAAGCAGCTGGAAGGATGACGTTTGAAGCGAACGGTACTCGATTCGAGTTGTGGAGTGAATAACAACTCTGAGATGCATGTAAGTCGTCTAGTTGAAGAGTCTCAAATTGGGACGAAACGTGTGTTCTAGATTCCACTGCTAGCCATATTTTATCCATACTATGTAAAATTATTGTTTCATTGTGATTTTAACGAGCATAAAAGTTCAATGAGGAAATTTTAATTATCAAACACGATAACATGTAACTGACCTTCATGAACAATTGTAATGTGTTCTTTCAAATACCATCGAGATGCGAATTTTTTATTACAATGATTACATGATATTTTGATACCTGATAGTGAAGAAATTAAAACGCAACAAAACAAATGAGGTAATGAGCATACAAATCGCCTAAAAGGAGAATATTAATAATATGATAGGGAAATTTGTACACTGCATAAACTTTATACAAAGTCGTTCAATGCATTTTTTTCTCCGAAAGTTAAGCAATACTTCATAACCATGTACAACATTTAACATAAAACCTTGGTTTTCCAATGAATACGATAACTACATGTTGTGATGAAGGTTAATTTAAAAGTAAGTTCAATGATAATTTATTTTGCGCAAGACCAGAGAATTTTAACCACTCAACTCAACGTCAAACAATTCTTAGTGCTTTGGTAACTGTTTATTAAATTCCCCACTGATAACAACCATAGCCAATCAATCTGTTGAGGACGTTAGATACCCAGAATTTGCTTGATTAATGTCTTAATTTTGGATTTTATTCATTGGTTGATCAGTTAGTTGACCTTGAGATTACAGAACCCACCCAGGAAATCCTTGACTGTGATTGGCCGATGTGGTATTTTAGTACTCTATTTTTGTGACTCTCCCAAGGACGTTTCTATCATGTATAAATAAACACGATTTGTGTGCTTGCTGAGGGCGTTTTTAGAATACACTTTCTACGCTATATCAAGACTTTTCGTTAGTTCCTTTTGAGTCAACGGATCAGAGTAGCCTACCGTATATCACTAGGTCATTGTCTCGTTCTCGTTTATCCTCTACGGTGAACTCGTAATAGTAGTTTCAAGCACATAATACAGAGGACGAGCATAAAACTAAGCGAATGATACAGACACAAAAGAGGCCGGCACATGCACACACACACTCATAAACAACACTAAACAACAAAAACAGTGATAATGAACATATTATTATTATACAACCAATATTATGTTATCAACGCACCTTTATGAACACATTCTTCATGTATGATTAAAGTATGTCGTTGAGTAAATACTTTATTACAATAATGACATTGAAATCCTAAACCTAGTTTTTAAAAAAATTTTTAAAAAAAAGTATTTGTACAAATGTACATTTCCATAGATTGAGAAAAAAAATCAAATGAGATATTAAGTTAACATGAACCAATGAATTAGTAAACTAAGTGAATGCATCGCACTGTACCGCATTCTCCTTCAGATTTTATGCCGACTTTATGATTGAACATTGAAATGTTTGATGATTTAAATAATAAAGGATTTGGCTTTGGATTTTATTGGCATTCCAAATCTGATGGATGCAAACACTCACATAGTAGTAACAGTATATAAGTAGTATACAGTAGTGGAGTGTTGCTAACAGAGAAGAGTATTTGTAGAGTGCGTTGAAGATCAAAATAGATGTGAGTGAAAATAGTCCGAAGCTTGTTTGTATTGCTAATATTTGGATGTTTGAAGAGAAAGTGTACATCAGTTGGTAGATAAACAGTGTCTTCTTTAAACATTACTACAATGGTTTGAGTTACTCTTGTAAATAGTAAGTAGTTTAATTAGATATGGCCATGTCAAGTTATTCAGTAATACTGTATGGGTCATTTTAATCTACGTTCTGGTTTATAATGCCGAATGATTTATTATAGCAGAAGATTCATTGATAAAATAGTAATCATATAACTGCCACTTGTGTGATATCCAGTACTTGTACCTACCCTACCTACCCAACTACCTAACTAACTAACTATTCTGTATCATCGTATCAACAACAGAAAATAATTCAAACCATTTAAACTCTGCTCTGTGAGTTAGAAGGTGATCAATTAGCAGAGTTATGACGTCTCATGATGAAAGCCGAATTCCTTCGGAAGTCATGAGGCCGATGCCTTTTCTGACAACCAGAACCCTTCCATGGTGTGGGCATTTGGAAAGTAACATCCGCCTTCATACAAGACCAAATCGGTCACAATCAAATCCTTTCTACACCGCCTAATAACTCTCTCTTATCTCCTCGACCAACTCTTCCTTCTATCGTTTGATACCTCATGCCACTGAAGCAAACAGTTCGAGCTCACGAAACATTATCATCGTATCAACAATACTTACTTACTAATCTCCATAACTCTAACTGAAAATAAGTAACAACTAATAACCTCGTGTAATTTCTATCGATCCAATTAGCAATCTAGCCACTGATTGAGCTAGATCGATAATTAGATGCACGAATTTACTGTAGATGTAAGATAGTCGGGAACGTTCAGTACAAGATTTCATGTTAATTTTTGCTTATCAATCAGTAAGGTGTAGCTGAAATCTCCACACACACACACACAAACACAAATGGTTCACCCTTGAGATCATCCAGTGTTCATCTCAATCGATAACACACAGTGGATCAACCAATGATATTTGAGTGAAACGCCCATATCACTAAAGTATTCATTTAACTACAAACTGACACTATGATTACAAATCATGAAATGGTATCTTTCAGTGTTTAGTGTTCTCTGTGTGGTTGTTTGTTTGTCCTTTTTTTCTAGTTTTGTACTCATTGTATTACATTGATTAATTTACAATTTAGTAAACAGACTTTTGATTGTTGATTAGTCTTGGTTCAAGATTTTGTATACAAAGAAAAATTGTAAGGACTTATTCAACAAAATCAGTAACCTGTAATACAAAGTAAAGCCTACAGTCAGTCAGTCAGTCAACAATAACACAGAACTACAAGTCAGTCAGTTGCAACGTAGAACTTCGGATGTATGTACATAAGTTCAAGTTGCCATACCACACATTAGCACAGAGATGCAAATGTCAAATCAAATCCCATAGTGATAGAGATAGTAGAGGTGGTATTAATGGTAATGAAGAAGACTGAGGGTTTACAGATATTATTCAAGAAGTATAATTCAGTGAGATAAGTTGAGAAAGACAAAGGTAGAAGTGTTGATAAATCCAGAAGATTAGAATTTGAGAGAGCACAACCAATGGATGCACTTGCGCCATTGCAAACGATTTTGAACCATACCGTTCAAGGTCTCTAACCAAACAGTTCAAGTCACCATATCACATTAGCACTTCAAATCCCACAGCAGTATTAGTAGTAGTAATAGAGGTATTAGAAGTATTAGTGAGATATCACAGGAGAATCAATCAATTCAAGAGAGAATAGGAAAAACTGGTCATGAGAAATTCAGGAGATTAGGAATTTGACAGACGACAGAGAATGGATGCAGCTACGCCATTGCAAACGATTTTTAGCCATATCATTCTTGCAAATCTTAGCCAAGTAGTGTTCATACATCTATCTATATAGCTATTATTCGATAAATCTGAATATATATATACATATATACATTAAAACAAGTATTTTTAAATCAATAATACAAATATATATGCATAGATACCTTTGTGCACTAAATTTATATGATTTTTCAATGAACTAGTCGACTTGAATCCATCACCACATTCATCGCATTGAATTAAAATGCCTAGATAATTTAATGGTCAAATAGATATTGATAGATAGATAGACAGATAGATAGAATGATAGATAGACATAAATATTAGATTAACAGAGACGAACAGACGAACAAACAAACAACCGAACGAACGAAATCGAAACTTCATTTAAACACATCAATTTAACATGAAAACTAATTTAATTAGATTAACAAATTTTGTTTCCGCAAAATTTAATAATGCAAACATTGTGTTGTTTTTTTTGGCGCGCAGGGGTTGGCGGGTCATTCAATCATTCACAATTGTATTGAATAAAACAAAAAAAACAAAACAAAACCTAGTGAACATTGGGTTTACCGAAATTTTTACAATAAAATCCATGGATATTTTTTAGTTTTTCTCATTTAGTTTTTTTTCACATTTCAATGTTAGACAAGAAAATGTCTCTGTGTCTGCTGTGTAATAATAAGAGAGAACAGAAGAGTAAAAGATTAAAAAAAACACAGAAAATCAAGTATTTTTCGGACAAATTGTTTTTTTTCACGTTCATTCAGTGAATGATGCTATGTGACGATTCAACAATGTAGAACTTCGTACGTACGTAAGTACACCAATCAGTTCTAGTTGCCGTACCATATTAGCTAAGTGACCAATTTGGTCTTGTGTAGTTTTATCGGTATGAAGGCGGATGTTACTTTCTGGCTGCTCACACTGTTGAAGGGCTCTAGTTGACAGAAGGAGCATCAGCCTTGTGACTCCCGAAGGAAGTCGACTTTCGTCATGAGATTTCATAACTCTTCTAAACGAAGACGTTCTAACTCCCAGAGCAGAGTTTATATGGTTTGAGTCATTTTTTTCTTATCAGAGCCCAACCCTCATCCTTTATCCGGCAGTAGACTCGAAGAGTCTACAGGTGGAGTGTAACATACAGCAAGTTGAGATGCAATTCCAGTGGGGTGTTTATAAATTATACATTTAGGTCGATTAGGAAAGAGCATCAAAGTCTGTGACATTGACAGTTTAGAACGACCAATAGGAAAGAACATTTGAAATGACATTGATAGTCCGGATGACCAATAAGAGACAACATTGAAGTATTTGACCTTGACAGTTAAAACGACCATAATTTTGACCAATAGGATTATACTTCCACAAAAATAGTACTCTTAGGATATTTGGTGAATATCCTAACAATAAATGAGCGAAATGAAGAAGTACCCTAGTGAAAACCAACAGCTTTATAAGCCATACTCTCATCTATTAAAATCCGTTGTAGATGACAATCAAAGTGAAAATACCAATATGGTTATTTAGGATAAAAAAAACACATATTTTTGTTATGCTCATCACCCAGTTGATTTACTTGAAACTATTACAAATTCACCTTTAAGTAAGTAAACGAAAGTGAAGAAAAATAATACAGTGACATGATAGGCTAATCTATTTCGAGCGTCCCAAGGTCCCACCCATTAAGTAGAGGAAGAAGTCTTGATAAGTCGTAGAAAGTGTATTGTACAAGCACCTAGAAAATCGAGTTTATTTATAAACCTCTTTAGGAGAACCACTAAAATAGCGTACTAAAGTAATACATCAACCAATAACAAATCAAGGATTTCCCGGGGTGGGAAATGTAATTTCAAGGTCAGTTGATCAGCCCGTGCACGAAAACATAAAAAATCCAAATTTAAGGCCTTTATCAAATGAGTTCTGCAGATCTAACGTCTCCAATAATTTAATACATGCTAACGTGAAACGACAGACAAGCAATAAGAAATGTAACGGATGGGTATAAAACCACTGGAATTCGGTCACACAATGGACTCTGAGATCAGTTGTAGGAAATCAACTTCCCGAAGCCGTATGAGAAATACGAAAGTTGCGTGTAGACACACACACACACACAATGATGATACACATGTGTGTATATAAAAGGTTTCATGTAGTATAAGACCACATGTATGAGTGACAGTTTGACCAATGGAAGGCATATGATAATCGTAGGGCTGTTACAAGTGATGAAACATTTAAAAACGTACAATGAATTAAATCATATCATAAATAATTCGTATAACAATAACCAAAACTACGTAGAACAGCAACTATATTCAAATTGACAATTGAAATAAAGGAAAAATCAACAAAATTTTAACGTATCATCATAATATATATAGATACATATCAGTTACCGATAAACACTATAAGAGAGAAAAAATACCTTTTTCTAAGCTAATCGTTTCTCATCATTTTATCTAAATCAAAATTAAAACATTAGCACAACAGATAAATAATGAAATTTGAGCAGAAAAAAACAGAACTGTTATGCTCGTCGATTGATATATGCTTTGATATGCTTGCAGCTATTACGAGTTCACCTTACTCGGTAAACGAGAATGAAGTTAAATGATGCAGTGACACATACGATAGGCTATTCGAATCTGTTTGTCCCCGGCCTGGCTAACGATATTAAGTAGTCTTGATAAAGCTTAGGAGGTGTATTCTACAAGCACACAGGAAATCGAGTTTATTTATACAATGATAGAAACGTCCTTGGGAGAGCCACAAAAATAGCATACTAAAACAACACATCAACCAATAACAGTCAAGGGTTTTCCGCGTGGGTTCAGTAATCTCAAAGTCAACTGACCAGACCATGCACGAAACCACAAAAATGAATCCAAAATGAAGACCTTTATCAAGTGAATTCTGGTGATCTAATGTCCCCAACAAAAAACCAACTAACCAACAACCAAAAAATTAAAGTAAAAGAAAAAAGAGTCAAATAAAAAAAACTACGCCATCATTTTAATGAAATTTTTTTACTTACCTTCATGAATCACTTTCACATGTTCACTTAAATAAGACTTGGTTTTGAATTTCTTTTCACAATGATCACATGCAAATTTTTCGCCTGATAGTAAAAAGTGAAAAGATCATATGGAAATATATGAATATTAAAAATAATAATAATAATAATTGGTTCCACAACAAGTGATAACTTATGTCGATCTCACATTCAAGGTGATGAACTAACTCAATAGTCAGTCAGACTTCAATGTGACCTAGTACAAAATGATCGGTTCAAGTAAGGTCGGAAAGAAAAAATTTTACCAACCATTATATTAAAACAGTGGGGAGATTATGATTAGTTGATGAAGGGCAAGAAACGGGATAAATGTTAGCTACTCATAAGTAGTATGTGTATATCCGTCTATCTGCTCCCGATCGATTGTTCAGAGCAAGGCAGTTGGAGGCCAGACGGTTGGAACGGCATCTGGTTGGTGCACTGCTTGGGTGGCTCGGTAATCCGCTTCCGGGTGCCAGGTCTAGCTGTGTAAGCTCGCCTTGCCGATTGGGGATTGTGGGTAGTGGATTGGTTGGAGGGATCTCTTGATTCATAAGTGCCCGTGCGGGGGCCACTGTTCGTGTGCGTACTTTTTGGATGACCACTTTTCTGCAGACCAATCCAGACAACATGTATGTTCCCGATTGGGACAGGGGTGATTACTGTTGGCTACAGTGAGAATCCTTGCGTTGCCGTAAAAAGCAGCGATGTGCATGTGCAGCAGGCTTGTTGGTTGACCATGTTTTATCAATACTCGCAATGTCCAATAAACCATACAAACACATCAACATTGATTGTCTTCATTTTAAATACACAGAAAAAACAAAACTTTAAGACAGAGATGTGCGTGTGTGTGTGTGACAGAGAGAAATAAAGAATAAGAGGGACCTTGTTGATGATTTACACATCGATTTGTGTGAATTACTTGAAGATCCGAAATCTTAGCATGTAGCTCTGATTATTTTATGATAATAACATGATAAAATAGTGACAATTAAAAAAAAAGATTGTAATTTATTGTAACGAAATAAGACCGTTTGACATTCAATGCATGAAACGTATTTTAACAAATATTCTGTAACTACTGAGTTCTGTATTCAGTAGTTATGCAACTTGGACGCTTTTCACTCCTCCCCAAATCGAACACACAGCAGCTGTGGTAAAATATAATTTTATCACCAGATTGGTCATTGTTATTTTATAAAACGACTTGTTATAAATTGAGGAATAACTTTAGCATTGTCTTAAAATGAATTCACCTGAATAGCGTATCTGTGGTCTATTAAGTAAGAAGACTATCTTAGGTACTCGAGAAATATATATATATATATATATACATATTGTAGATACATAATGTGGTGTGTGGTTCTACAGTAAATAGTAATCACTGAGACTGAAGCTTACAATCAAGGGAATAAGGGGACGACAAGAACAACCACAGTCAATCGTAAAACAGATCAAAATAAAATGACGGGTTCAAAATGGCTACATATATATATATGCAAAATATGTTTCTATCAATCAGCAAATAGCTAGTTTTGTCAGTAGTTAAATCAACCAATAAGATACAAGGAAAAGGGATAAACCCTAATTACTAATAAAATAAGAATTTCCCAATCACAATGACAAATATTCATTTGTTCAACAATCAAGTTGATGTGATGTGCTTGTCAACTTAAGATTATTAACAAGAATATTTATTTGATCATTCAAAATTTGGATGAATTGAGATATCAAAAGAAGCATTAAAAATTAATCATACACATACCTTTACAAGTATTATTCTTATCTACTGATGATTGATCTTCTTGAATGTTGGATTTATTGTCAACTTCAGTATAAATAGGATTTTCATCATTAGGCGGAGCAGTTGGTTCTTTATCTATAAAAATAATAAGTTCAATTCGAAATATTAACAGAATTTCTATATTGATAAGGGGAATTTATGGTGACAGGATTAAATTTCATAGTTGAAATCATGAACTGATCTAAGTTAGGTGATCAGTAGAAACTTGAAAGTACTACATGGCCAATTCATTCTAGCATGGGACTTCTTAGAAGGGCATATTCATGACCCTATACATACGTAGGAATCGAACCCACCACCTTCAGTCTCGTTTCACCCTCTCGACTAATAATTCTAGCTAAGACTAGTCCACAAATACTCTTCATTAATAACAATCACTAGTGGATGACTTTATTATGTATTCCTATAGTTCTCTAGTGAGATTTCGTGGCTGGTGGATTTCAATCTGTATCGGGTATGACACTTCACTTTACCTCACGGATTTACGTCTCTGGCGGTAAGGCCTTTTAAATAGATCGGAGTTAACACATCAAAAACTTCCCATAAAAAGGCAATGCGTGACCGGCATCAAGCAGTTGTCACTTGAGCTCTGAGGTCACGCTAATCTACATTCCTTTCCAAGTTCCTCAAGAAACACCCTTCCACGATGTGGGCGGTCAAGAAGTGACATCCCTATTTTATTAGTATGCGATTGTAGATTTCTTCGAAGCATTGCTCGTGTATCCTGGGACAACCGAGTAAGCAATGCTGTCCTAAAGAAACGAATACTAGGTAAGGATGGCAAATCAATAGATGAAGTATTAAAACTTCATCAATTGAGGTGGTTGGAACAGATGTTACGAATGCTCAACCACAGGACTGCCTCGACAAGCGAAGCTTCATGGCGTAGGAGTAGATTGGAGAGAAGCTGGGGACAGCCAGACCAAAAATTGGCACAAATCCATGAAATCATTGACAAGTGGACTGAGTTATGTTGGTAGATGGCAACCTGAACTGACGTACGTACGATATTCTACGTTGTGACTGACTGGCTGAATAATACACATACATATATATATAATTTACTTACATCGTGTTGCATTAGACAAACATCTATTTTGATTAAATTGAAATTGTGAATGTAACTGATCCAAAGAATATGGATAATGCGGATTTGGATAACCCATTTCAATTAGTTTATCCAATGATGGTGGTTGAGTTTCTCGTAATAATAATCCTTGTTTATTATTATTATTATTATTACTATTATTATTATTATTGTTATGCGCAGTATTATTGTTATGGTCATGAACAAAATTAGCCGGGTTAATCATTGCAGGAGCATAATTTTCTTCTGTAACGGAGAAAAAGAAAACGAAAGGTGAATTCAAACAAACAACACTGATATTGAACCAACAATGAAAAACAAGCTTGTAATCAGGTGTGTGTGTGTACATTGAATGATGGTGAATTGTCAGCTATTGTTGTTGGTGGTGGTGAAGTTCCCCGTTTTATATTGATTGATTGGTATCATTGACTTTTTAGGTAGAGTTGTGGTGTGTACTACTTATATCGTTCGTAAAAGTAGCACACACCACAGAGTCATTCACATGAACAATGTAAGCTCTGCTTAATAGATTTAAGTATAGATCAGTCTACTGTGAATGTATTTTTTTCCGCCTACCAAAAAAAACAATATTTAATTTTTTTCGAAAATTTAATACAACTAAGTGTATATACATATATATATCGTTTAACGGAAAGTAAACACCGAAAATTTTGATATAAGAATGAATCAATGCTTTAGAGAGATAGAGATAGAGGATGTAACATGAAGCAAACTACACTATGAAATGATCATTGGAATGGTGATAACCAATGACAACCTACATGAATATTAAATTAAATTATCACGAGATCCATAGTAGTAAAATAATGAGATCTAGTGAGAAGACGTGACCAGTAAAGTTCAACCCTGTCAGGTGTAGGCATTAACTACCAAAGACAAATGGGTGAGTGTTAGGGATGTTAGATCCCCAGAACTCGCTTGATAAATGCCTTATTTCGGAATTCACGTTTGCCAGCATGGGCTGATCAGTTGAGCTTGAAATTTCAATTCCCACCAGGGAAATCCATGGCTGTGATTGGCTGCTGTGTATTTTAGTGTGTTATTTTCATAACTGTCCCAAGGACGTTTCTATGATGTATAAATAAACGAGAGTTGTATGCTTGATTGTATTGTGTGATTGCTGGGTGTTTGTAGAATATACTTTCTACGCTTACAAAGCCTTTTTACTTCAGCTTGGTATTCAAGGTAGCCTACCTAGGCGCTGGTAATTGTCTCGTTCGCGTTTATCGACTAAGGTGAACTCGTAATAGCCTCAAGCATAATAGTGAGGTGGTGCAAAAAATTCGTAGATTAACTAGAGTTAGACATTAACACCGTTGGATGCTGGTCCAGTGGTCCAGAGGTCAGTAGTTCGCGCACAATACCGAAGGTCACAGGTCCGAATCCCGCTCGGTGCAGGAGTCGTGGATGAGAACTGCTGATGAATAGTCAGTCCTATACCAGGAAGAAACGACCGTACAGTGCTTCCAAGTTTCTAATAGGTGGTCTAACAATGATCGATTGATGGTTTAAATGTGCAATAACAATAATAATAATAATAGGGATCGAGTTTATATTGATAATAATAATTGAAACTGGTTAAATTCTTTTTTTTTGAATTAAAAATGTCAAAGGTATAAAGATTGGAGTTATAAACGTAAACTTCTGAATAAAGAGCTTGGGTATATTCCATGGATTAAACTTGCAAAAATAACCATTTTAGGTTTCAATAAACGAAATAATCATAATAACAAGAGAAGAATGATGGAATTAGATAAGTTGAGTCAAATAAAAACTACCACTAAATTATTCTCTTTATATGATATACAACTAATTAAACTGTTAATGGGACATTGGATTGGATTAAAAAGCATGATTGCGTTGTTTCATGTTGATTGGTTCTTTTCTTATCCAATCAGCGACAGCCAGCACTGAGGGAACATTCTAGAATCTTCTCATGTAAGAAAACTATAAATATACTGATGTCTTTTCCCTTTGGACCTTCTAACCATGCTGCTGAAAATATAATCTCTTCCCTCCTGTTCAACCGTGTTCTGATTTTTTTTGGGAGAACGTCTCAAGTGAATTGGTGGTGTCCGAGAGAATACTAATAAGCATTAGTAGGAGGAATAGTTGGGTCGTTGTAATAATAAGCGAGAATTATAACATAACCTCTGGGAAAAATAACTCACTTATTAATCACAAAACTGACAAAATATCAGTAGAAATCAGTTTTATCATGGAGGAATATCAAGTAAATAATCATTTACACAAAGAATATGTTTATTATCGATTACTTTGGGGATAGTGTCATGAGAAGATGAAGATTATCAAAACTATATGATCTATATGAAGTGTAATATATTTCGAAATGTAAACAAATCAGCACTAACGCAGCTAACTAGTAATGCAACATAGGTGACGAAGTGTGTTGTAACGCTTGCTTAAATAATTCCCCGGCTAATTCCTATTGATTAGTATTCTCTGACCACACAATACACTACTGGACAAGTTCCAAAGAATCAAAACCACGGTTGAACAGGAAAAAAGATTATATTCCAAATAGCAAGGTTAAATGGAAATAAGAAGCCGAAGGCCAAATAGATACAACGTTAGTTTCTTTATAGTATTTACATGAGAAGCTTCTGGCTAGTAATTCACGTGACCGACTACTGAATTAGATTTAGCCAATATCAGCGTGCAGCTAACAACACGAGAATTTTCTACTCCAAGAATTGATCAGGCGCTGATTGGATAGGAAATTAGCCAATCAGCGCGCAGCTAGAGCAGTCATGTTTTAATTCCATCCATGCCCTACTAACAAAGTGAATTGATTCATTACCGAGGGGTTAGATTTGTTACAACTAGAATTAACGATGTAATTGCATGCGATAATAATGACGATGATGATGATGGACATAATATTGTGGTGCGAGCTACTTATAAGTAGTATATGACGTGAGTGTCAACGTAATGTCTGGTAGCAGAAGATGGGGGAAGATCAACAAGAAAGGAAGAGTTAGAAAACACAATGGAATTTGTATGAAACGCATGAATAATGACAATGGATTGACGATGTTTTACAACAGGAACAGTCCAGTTCGATATGATGAACTGATATTTTGCAAATTACCGATTTACGATATGGTTTTCCGATTTTACTGAGTAATAACTCTGTAATTTTCGTTAAATACAATTCGCTTGCCCCACTTGTGTTCTCGTTCACTACAATATGAACGACAACTAATCTAAGACTATATTATGAAGTTAATAGTTTTGAAATGCTTTGTTCTATGTACTTTTCCTCTGATGATTTGTATACAGTTTTGCACAGACATCACATATTAATGTACACTGACAAAAATCTTATCAGTTATCATCAGAATCATAATTTACTGGGTACAGCCTTTAAGAAAAAAGGCCAAGAAACACATTACGCTGAGAAATAGAGAAAAAGATATGAGAAGAATGAAAGAAAATTGGACAGAACTGGAAAGGGAAGCCCAGGATTGGGTAGGTTGGAGAATACTAGTCGGTGGTCTAAACTCCATTAGGGGTGACAGGCCTAAGTAAGCAAGTAAGTAAGACACAGCCAGCCGATTTATGCAAAACATTCTACTTAATTAAAATGATAACAAACGAAAAAAATGAGTGATCATCTGACTTACGTTTTATAAAATTGATCATTTTCATAACATCATTTTCAGGAAATAAAGGTCGACAAATTGATTGTTGATTACCATTAACAAGATTGTTATTATTACTATTAACATTGTTATTGTTATTATTCATGTTATGCATAGCATTCCAATCCCATGAACCAAAATTATAAGGATTAGTTTGTCGAAACAATTGATGTTGTTGTTCTTGATGTGATTGTTGTGGCTGTGGCTGTTGTTGCTGTTGCGGTTGATTCATTTTACAATCTCTTTCATTTGTATTTGTATTGGTGGTATTAGCAGATGAGGCGGCAGAAATCATACCGCTGATGTATATGATGAAATCATATAATATCGGTGAGAAGAGGGGAAGTGAAAAAATGTAAAGAAAGAAATATTATTGTATACGCATTGTCATTGTATGTAGTATATAGAAACAATGTGAAGCATATAACTATGATGACACAACATCGAGACGGATATAAAAAAAAACAAGACATGAACCGAATAGAGAAAAAAGTACATAGACGATAGTAGTAATAAGTCAGTCAATTAGTTATAACGTAGAACTTCATAGGTATGTGTGTATGTATGTACATCAGTTCAAGTTGCCATGCAAGCATGTTCGGGATGCGCTTCTCATCCTCGAAATGCAAAATGTTACGTCAAGATTGGGTTGCATCGGCACCAGAACTAGTGATAGGGAGTGAAGTAGGCGAGCGTGTAGACCGCTTCACTTATCTGGGGAGTCTCATCAGTGCTGATAGCCTGGTGACTGACGAAATCTCAGCACGGATACAGAAAGCTCGATTGGCTTTTGCCAACCTGCGTCACTTATGGCGTAGGCGAGATATCCGCTTGTTAACTAAAGGATGAGTCTACCGTGCAGCAGCTCGCTCCATCCTACTTTATGGATGCGAAACAAGACCGTTAAGAGTAGATGTTCGTAGGTTACTAGTATTCGATCATAGATGTTTAAGAAGCATTGCCCGTATACCGTGGAACAACCGAGAAAGCAATGCTGTTCTTAGGAAACAAGTTCTAGGTAAGGATGGCAGATCAATAGATGAAGTGGTGAAACTTCATCAGTTTAGTGGTTGGGACGTGTGTTACGTATGCCTAACCACTGGTCATCCTAGATATCAATGTTACGTGCCCCAATGTTGTTTCTTATTGGTCGTCTTAACTGTCAATGTCACAGACTTCGATGCTGTCTCCCATTCGATCTAACTGTATAAATACGCATTATCTTTAACATTTTATGACCCGGACCTGGATCCTTAGTCCGGGATACTGATTCTCTTCTGGACTCAGACCTCGTACTTTCTGGATACTTAGAGAATAAAGGTTCTACTTCATATCAAGTCTTCTTATTTTATTCAATGGCGGTTGGGACAACCGGATTAGAGTAGGATGTCGTGTCGCCGAATCCTCCATCCTCGCTCTCGATTCCCGATTAAGGTAAACTCGTATTAATTCAAGCATATCAAAACGACGTGTTTACGTGCATACGCAACAAAAACAGGTAGAAATGGATTTTCAAGAAAAAACAATAAAATAGCGATTGCAAGAAAATGATAATATAAAAAAATGGAAATAAGTAGACGAGAGCAGTATTCAATGGAAGCAGTTCAGTTGGCAAATATACAACTAGGAACAATCATTTCCGTTATATAAGTTTTTACCTCTTTTAGAGCTAAAAGAAATCTAAAGCGATATCGCCATTGGCTTGTCCAAAAGTACAGAGTGTTCACTATTCCTCTCAAAATGCTTTCATATAGTCAAGTGTGTAAAGCTACTGCCACGGAGGTCCTAATCGTTGCCTTCACTCAATAGTTAATGTTTGTGAATTTGAGAGAACAAGAATTGAATGTCTGGCGGGAGGTTAAACGAGGTTGATGAGTACGAAGAATTCATCTAGAGAAGTTAGAAGACCCTGATTTTAAATTAATGATCCACAAGGGCTTCACGATCGTAAAGAAACAAAAGGCGTATGAAATTATTGTTCGTCACCAATTACCATGGGACTGTATCTTTCGATGTTGCCCTACTGAATTATGGACGCAGTCTTTACTTGTGCTTAAGATTTACAATTGCTAGGAATAATCCGTTGTCTGAGTACAACTGCAGCATAAAGTCACCATTATCTATTTGTTAGGCTGGGATTTCACAAGACTCCTCCTGTAAGTGTTTTTCAGTTTGTTTTAGCCCGTAAACTTTAGCGATCTGCCATGACTACTATGTTTAAGCACCTGACTGCCTTTAAGTCATACAGCTTCCTATGAAACCTATCTTTTTGACTATTAGAATTACAACAAACGAATGCGTAAGCATAAATGACAAGTTGGAAACGGCACAGTTTTACCTCTCCATCAGTCAGTTACAACGTAGAACTTCGTAAATACATACATCAGTTCAATTCGCCATACTGCATTAGCACAGAGACACAATTTTCAATTCTAAGCCCACAGTAGTAAAGGTAGTAAAAGTATTAGCAGTAAACGGAGAGATTAGGGTTCGAGGACATTAATCAAGAAGTACAATCTTGTGAAATTAATAAAGGATAAAGTGATGTGGAATTAAAAAGTTTAGGATTTGAGAGAACACAAAGAATAAATGCACATGTGCCACTGCAAACGGTTTTGAGCCTGTTATTCAGGGTCTATAACCATCGATTACTATCATCTCGCGGGCCCCAACCAGTTAGTCGATACCTAACAACATGACTTAATCCAGTTTTCAGTGTTTTGGTTTGGCCGTCTCTAGTTTTCTTCCAACCTATTCCTACACCGCAAAATATAGCTCGACGAGGCAGTCGGTGGTTAGGCATAAGCAACACATGTCCCAACCACCCCAAATAATGAAGTTTCAATACTTCATCTATCGATCTGCCATCCTTACCTAGTGCGCGTTTCCTAAGAACAACATTGCTTATTTGGTTGTCTCACGCTACGCGAGAAATGCTACCCTGCTATTACCTCTTCATGTTTTACTGCGTAAATGACACCAACAGCATACAAATAACTATCAATAAAAATCCAAACAAGTGCTTGCTTTGATTTCAGATTTAATACCAATGACAGCACCAGTGGAACAGCGAAGAATTGCTTTCGCGCCTCCATATACACGAAGAATATAATGCGTTTGCTCTCCTTACTGGCTAGTAAGGGGTTGAAGCAATGACTATTTTGGGATCATTTATGCGCATTTAGCAAACACAGAATGGCGTGATGGCATAAGATATTAGGAACTTTGCTAGTGATGCCTGTCATCTGATTTGACGTTGAAAGTTTAGATATGTAATTTGAAGTATAGTTTCCGAAGACCTAGTACGGAAGTTTTTTTAACTCGAGCCGAAGGCAGATGAAGTTTGGTAGTGAAGGTATAAAAATTACTCGGTAAGGAAGACAGGTTTCGATCGTGGAGATAAGAGAGTTATTAGGAGGTGCAAAAAGGATTTGATTCTGACCGATTCGGTCTCAAGTGCTTTTATGGGTATGAGGGCGGATGTTACTTCCCGGCTGTCCTCACCGTGGAAGGGCTCCGGTTGTCAGAAGGGGCATTTTCCTCCTGACTCCCGAAGGGACTCGGCTTCCATCATGAGACGACATAACTCCTCTTAATGAAAGCCTTCTAACTCCCGGAGCAGATTTTAAACACTTACTTACGCCTGTTTCCCCTAATGGAGCATAGGCCGCCCACCAGTTCTCTCCAACCAACTCTGTTCTGGGCTTCCCTTTCCAGTTCTGTCCAATATTTGTTCATTCTTCTCATATCTTTCTATATTTCTCGGTGTATTGTGTTCCTTGGCCTTCCTCTTTCCCTTTTGCCTTGAGGGTTCCATGTGAGGGCTTGTCTTGCGATGCAGTTAGGTGTTTTTCGTAGTGTGTCCTATTCACTTCCACCGCTTCTTCCTCATTTCCTCCTCCACTGGAATCTAGTTTATTCTCTCCTACAGTACGTTGTTGCTGATCGTGTCTGGCCAACGAATCCTCAGTATTTTGCGTAGACAACTGTTAATAAACACTTGTATCTTCTGGATGATGGCTTTCGTAGTTCTCCAAGTTTCCGCTCTATACAGTAGAACTGTCTTGACATTTGTATTGAAAATCCTGATTGTGGTTTTGGTTGAAAGTTGTTTGGAGTTCCAGATATTTTTCAATTGTAGAAATGCAGCCCTCGCTTTGCCAATCCGCGCCCTCACATTTGCATCGGATCCACCTTTCTCGTCGATGATGCTGCCAAGATATGTAAAAGTGTTAACGTCCTCCAAGGCATCTCCATCAAGAGTGATTTGGTTGGCACATGTTGTATTGCATTGGAGAATTTTGCTTTTTCCTTTATGTATGTTGAAACCTACTGCTGCAGAGGCTGCTGCTACAGTGGTAGTCTTCTCTTGCATTTGTTGTTGCGTGTGCGATAGAAGAGCCAGGTCATCTGCGAAGTCCAGATCGTCCAGTTGCGTCCTAGCTGTCCACTGAACACCGTGCTTCCCTCCAGATGCTAACGTCTCCATAATCCAGTCGATCACCAGGAGAAAGAGAAAGGGTGAGAGTAAGCAACCTTGCCTGACACTAGTCTTCACCTCGAAAAAGTCTGTTAGCTGTCCTTCGTGTACGATTTTGCAGTTGAATCCATCATAAGAACTCCGTATGATGTTAACTATTTTCTCAGGCACACCGTAGTGTCGAAGAAGCCTCCGCAGTGGTTTCCTATCCTCGCTATTGAATGCTTTCTCGTAGTCGATGAAGTTGATGTCGAGTGGTGAGTTCCATTAAACTGATTGTTCCACAATGATCCGTAATGTAGCAATTTGGCCTGTTGATCTCGAAGTTGGGCGTCAACGAAGTCCTTCATTTTGGTTAATACCCTGTTGAAGACTGCCTGGTACTGAGAGAAGAGTGATGCTCCTGTAGTTCTCACACTTGCTGAGATCGCCTTTCTTTGGTATTTTGATCAGGTATCCTTCATTCCAGTCTGATGGTTCTTTTTCCTGATCCCAAATCTTCTTGAAGAGGATGTGAAATATTTTGGCAGTTGTTTCCACATCTGCTTTCATTGTCTCTGCTGAAATGTTGTCTGATCCTGCTGCTTTGCCGCTCTTGTTTTGTCTGATGGTCATACTGATCTACTCAATCGTAGATGCGCCAATATTAATTGGAAGGCTCGTGCATGCTGCTTCGATGTTGAGTGCGTTCAGTGGAGCTGGTCGATTCAATAGTTCCTTAAAGTGCTCTACACACCTATTTCTCTGTTCTTCAGTGTTGCAGAATACTTTGCCCTCCTTGGTTTTCACTGGTCGTTCTGGTTTACGATAGTTTCCGACGAGCTTCTTTGTTGTTTCGTACAATTGTCTCAAGTTTCCGTCTCTTGTAGCATTTTCCGACGTCATTGCTAGATCATCCACATCAGTCAGTTGCAACGTAGAACTTCGTACGTATGTACATAAGTTCAGGTTGCCATACCACATTAGCACAGAGACGCAAATGTCAAATCAAATCCCATAGTGATAAAGATAGTAGAGGTAATAATGGCAATGAAGAAGACTAGGGTTCGAAGATAATATTCAAGAAGTATAATCCAGTGAGATAAGCTTAGAAAGACAAAGGTAGAGGTGCTGACGAATCCAGAAGATTAGGATTTGAGAGAGCTCAACGAATGGTTGCACTTGCGCCATTGCAAACGATTTTGAGCCATGTCATTCAAGATCTCTAACCATTGATGACTTTCGTCTCGCGGACCCCAACCAGGTAGTCTACATCTACCAACATGATTCAGTCCACTTGTCAGTGACTTCATGGATTTCAGCCATGTTTTGTTCTGGCCGCCCCTACTCCTACACCGCGAAACATAGCTCGTCGAGGTAGTTGGTGGTTAGTAATACGCAACACATGTCCCAACCACCCCAACTGATGAAGTTTCAGTACTTCACCTATTGATCTGCCATCCTTACCTAGTACTCGTTTCCTAACGACAGCATTGCTTACTCGGTTGTCCCACGGTATACGAGCAATGCTTCTTAAATATCTATGATCGAATACTAGTAACCTACGAACATCTACCCTTAACGGCCATGTTTCGCATCCATATAGGAGAACGGAGAGAACTGCTGCGCAGTACACTCGTCCTTTGGTTAGCGAACGGATAGCTCACCTACGCCATAAACGGCGTAAATTGGCAAAAGCAAATCGAGCTTTCTGTATCCGCGTCGAGATTGCGTCAGTCACCAGGCTATCAGCGCTGATGAGACTCCCCACATACTTTCGTTTGTCAGCTCTGACGCTCTTCTTCACTTTCCTGTTTGCTTCTGTGTATGCAGCTTGTGCCTTAACTTTCTCCGCTCTTTTAAATGATTTGACTTATTTTTTTCTTGTTGGCGTTTCTTAGCGAGTTAGTTTTTTGCAGGATGAGGCCGCCAACCCACATCCTAACCCTCCTTTATCCGGCCTTGGGACCGGCAGCAGCCCCGGAGGGTCTACAGGCCGATGTGGCATGACAGCTGATGTACGTGCGTACTAATCTCTATGTTGTTGTTGACTGAAGACAGGATTTGTTTATGAACAAGGTGATCTTGGGTGCTCTTAAGAGTATAAGAGCGACAGTTTCTCCCTATACTTTTAAGAACTGACCAACTAACTGTGGAGTAAGATGGTATGCTATTTTTAGGGCTGATCTTTCCAAACTTCTGTTTTTTCGTGAGTGAGCAGCATTACTACAGATGCTGCCATGAAACCTTCACACAGTCGGAAGTACAACTTCGTCTCCAAACCTTTATTTGTTGCTTTTCGTTTTACTGTATCAAATCGGATCTCCCTAAAATGTTAGAGACTGAAACAGTGCGTTTCAAGCAATATAGCTTTATTGTGTCATCAAAATATGCAAGCCCAACCACCATGTTAGAGTAGAAACCATGGTCAGACAGTCACCAATAGGGATACTTTAACTGAATGGCTTTATTAATAAGGTCACTGATGGTGAAATTAACGAACGTCTTCAGTGGAACTGTTAAACCACATCACTGTTCTACCTTAAAATACTCCTCTTACTTAAGTGATGTTCATATTTGAGTTTAAATAAGTGAGGACGAAATCAAATTAGCACTTCTTAGACTTCGAACTGAAACGGATGAACAAAATAGGTGCAAATACGGAGGTACATTCATAATCATCTATTTTTATTGAGTTTTGTTGCCCCTAATTTTCAGCAGACAAATTTTCAGCCTTCAAATACCTCAAGAATAGTAGTTCAAGTGACTTAAGTAGTTTTATAGAGACAGATTTGTGTAAGGAAAAAATTCAGTTTCATGATTGCGTTATATGAAAATTTGGGGATAGGGATGATATTTATCTAGACGACTAAATAAAGCAATTATACCCTAGTCAGTTTAACTATGAAAATTAGAATACTTAGTAGAGTTACAGTTTAGTTAACTGTAATTTGGCAACAATCATCTACATAGTTTGAGTAAGCGGACGGTTAGTATGATTTCACTCCAGGCAAAAAATAAATAGTTGAAAATATGACGTCATACTGTGCCGACGAGCCAGTGTTAAATGTACAAACTGCCTCAAGGTTGTGATGCATATATCAAGATACAGTTAAGAACAATTATTAGGATTAGCTGTTATGGTTGGAGTTTTTATCACGTACAGACATCAGATACGATACATAGGTCTGAATATACGTCTTATCGCAAGTCTTAGATTAATGATAAAACATAAATTTATCTTTCCTGTTTCAGGATTGTTTGAGTGACTTACTAAACCTAAGTTGTTCAGTGGTATAGTATTGAAAAATCGAATATAAGTACCCGAAAGACAAACTAAATACTTTATTATTTAAATGTACAACAACCATCTCCAAAATACTTAGATGCAAAAATCAGAAATGTGGTCACCAAGGAATAGCTTTTTAAGGGAGGCGTTCGCGCTGTAGAACGAAGGTCCTACGTCCGATTCCCACGAGCAGCGTCCTGGATGCGCACGGCTGATGAGTGACATACCAGGACGAAACGGGCGACCAGTGTCACCAGGTTCCTAACGGTTGTCTAACAATGATTCATTCACGATTTCAATGTTAAATACTTTCTCGCTTGGTGAACAACAATATGAAAATGGCGTGATTAATTTAGACACCTAACATGAACTAGTCACACTACATCCCCAGCAAGCAGAAATGGTCAATCATTTTCTTAATAAATTGTTTGGAATTTTGTTCGTTCCGCCACTGTGAAAGACTCTGGTTATTCTACATTTGTTGTCGGGCCACTTGCAGGCTAAGAGAAAGCTGGCGAATATTTAGTATAAAGCCATTAAGTCTAGACTGCGAACTAATTTACGCATATATCAAAGCATATGGAGCAAACATTGTAGCGCCACGAAAATTCAGATAAATCATCTATTCATTGCCAACCTACTGTTTTCTAACAAAGAATACATCGCTCAAGATTCCAATTTCACAGAACCTAAAACATTCGTAGAAACAACACGAAAACGAACCAAACGTCCAAAAGTCAGTTTGCTGAGTTTTATGCACGGAATGAATGTTTACGTACTGTGAGCTTCGGAAAAAATATTCAGCTTAACCGTTTGCCAAATACTGGAAAACTTTAATTGGATTTAATTCAAAGCCTACGAGTCACTGATGCTGACAATCTAATAGGATTTCAAAGTCTTAAGCTTCAGTTCGGAAGAAACTCAGTATCAAATATTTTTTCACAATATATAAATACTTAAATGAAATTTAGAAAACGTACCCCTTGCCAACAAAGCAGTGCAAATTACTAAAATCCATTTTAAATACACATGATCAGCGACCTTCAAAAAGTTATTGCGCCAAGTGAAGTATTGTTAACAAGTGTTGTCCAATATCCAATACCTTTGTGACTATCTTATGTAAACCGACTGATTTCTTTGCACTTGCTCTGTTTTGTTTTGGTAAGATCATATGTATCTTTTGATTTACACTAATTAGTGGTTAAGCTACCTGAATATAACAGTTCCACATATAGACTATTGGATTTACACAGTTATGTGCGTGTAATTAGGGGAAAATGCATAAGCTAATAGTAGGTAAATTAAAAAGGACATACCACTGACTTAGTTCCCATACATTTCACACTCTTGAGTGTGATCGTATCTTCATTCGGCTATGAACTAATTACTTGGATGCAATACTCTGAATGAGATCTCACATAAGTGGATACAAAACACGGATTAAATCATCGTCAAAGCTTCATGATATTTGAAAACGTGAGCATAACGCCCAAACACATTCAGCAACTGCTTTGTTGCAATATGCACTTGTTTCGAAAACCTGAAGTACTGTTACCAAACGATTGATTGCGATTTACAAGGCTTGTATATCACTGCACGATCAGGCAATATGATCCACATACTGAAGATCGAAAGATCTATCCACATATAATAAATCCACACCACCTCCATCTACTTCTATCAGTTCCATTTCCAGGATGTCACTGATGATGAGGTTGAAGAGTAGTGGAGATACTGTGTAACCCTATCTAACCACACTGCTTAAATTAAACGATAGAAAGGTGAGGAAGTACACCCCTACCATGCCTGATGTGTTTGTTGGATTGCAATCTTTGTGGAGGTATTCTAACATCTTTTAATGGCTGAAGATGTGGTTAGTGCATCCACACTCAGAACGAAGACTAGCTTGCTCCCTACTATTCAGTCTTTCACGATTTTGGGCAATCGTGACTCATTGGAAAGTAGACTTATTTACTGATGGTTGTTGTGTGCGTGAGGTAAACCATTTTTAAAGATTGAGACGACCATCGACTCATCTCACAATGATAGATTACTCTCTAATGGTCAAAAATTTGTGAACAATCCGGTTAGTTCTTAACCGGTTGGTCGCCACCATTATTAATAATACCCGGAGGTGAATTATCTATGGTTTATTATATTTTGATATTCAAGAGTCGGAGTTCCTCGCAGATGTCCGTCACGTCATATGAATCAGTCGACACTGGCCATCAAACAGGAAATAGTCCGGCCTTTCCTACATTACAAAACGCAGCTGTTCACAAGTCGACGCTTACTATCACTTTAATGCTTTTTGTTCATGTACGCATGGATTCTATGTACCGTTGATAGTATACTTGTAACTATTGTGGGTGAATTAACACCCCATTTCTATGATCAATTTCCAGCTTCATACTCTGCACCGATCTAACTAATTCGTGTACGTCAGCTCAGAGATCAAGATAATTGCCCTGACTACTTGTCGTTCTCTCTATTCCGACATTTTCTGCGACCAACAGTGTAGGCAACCTTAATAGTTTTATTAATCCTTTTAATACTAAAAATAATAATAATAATTTATTCTCAAATAACAAACATGTTACAAGAGACATGCCAATTTAGAGGCAAGATCAAAATGTTAAGATTAGCAACATATTTCTTTTAAAACGGTTTACAGTTACTGAAACATTTCACGAAATTCATTGGATTCGTATGGATGGAATGTACAATGTGAATAATTGGCGCGAGTTAGGAAGGTTGAGTTACGACTATCATCTTATTGACTGCGAAACGATTCATGGTGGAGATAGGTTTGCATATAACAAGAATTGATGCGGTAAATATACAAAGGTCTGGTTGATATTCATCAACTAATGATTTCACATGTTCCTGGGTAGGGTAACCAAGTCTACGGCAAATATCCAGTCTAACATATGAGAATCGGAATAAGGTGCTGAAAAAAGAGGAATAAAGAAAACGGGACGAGGAGTGGAACAGAAAATATTCTTGATTAAAGCCAAACAACGGCTTCGCACATACGTTTATGGATAAAACAAAGGTATGTTTACTCAGACTTTTTTTTAATATCAGAACACTAACTGTACACCTGCACTTACGTAGGTTAATAAAGACAATTCAGTAGTGAGACAACTAATGGGAAGTTAGTCGTATGAATAGAGGAAATTCAAAAGAACCAAGTTGTTAGCAATAATGTTGATTTATTAAATATAATAATGAGGCACAGTAATATAAAGCTTTTGTGGTATTTTATTTACTCTGTTTCTTTTTATCTCTGTAGCTCAAGAAGTCATAAGTGAGCTATTTTTTTAGTATAGTTGTCCAGACCAGCTTGTAATAGGATTTCTCTCTAGGAAGACATGAGTCGTAGACGAGGTTAACAAGGAAAAGTAACAACGATATCACTGATTTGTTACATCCTGCTATATCATAAGGAGCCGTAAGCAAACAAAATGTTCTGCCACACAGACATGGGTAGATTGAGGTTATCGCCCCACCGTCATGAATGATGGGCAGATACACCACCCTCTCTCCTTTTGTGATGTAAGGCTCTCTTACGTTTAATGGTTGATTGTAAATAATGGTTTCTACTCTACTCTCTATTTTTTTACACCTTATCGGAATTAATATTCTCTACTGGCTCCATATTACAAGCAACCCAGACAACTTTGCCAAACAAAATATCCACGTAGCATATCACACTGATTTTAAGTAAACTAATGGTATAATTTGTAAGATGTATCAGTTAATATGTAGTTCGGAGATAGGAAGGACTGGGAGCTCGAAAGAGGAGGAAGAAAAAAAAGAGTTGAAATAATGTTAAAAATTAATGTGTAAAGCGATAAGTTGGTAAGCAGGCAAGGTGTTTGGATGTTAATGAATTGGAGAAATAAAAATTTTTTAAAACTGTTAATACTTTAACAAGAAGGAACTCATAATGATACACGGAGTTTGAGTTCCTTATAATAGACAGTAGTTGATCAGCATCTACAGGATTTTCAATTTATCTGTCTACTAGAAATAAAAACTGTTTTGAAGATATGAAAATAATGATTGGAATTTAAATTTAGAGAAAAGTCACGGGTAACACCTCAAAGGCGTAACCTATTACTGTCAGTATGATTCGTCTATCATTTCGTGATACATGTATGGGTGGTAATGAGGACACAATATGTTCATAGTCTATAATTCGTTTCTAAGGTTAATGGTGGTGGACCATAAAAAAGTGCCTAAGGACTTCGTGTGAGTTCTGAGAATAGACGATAAATCTCTTTAGAGTCTAGCAACAGCATGACTAGTTTCTTGAACTTAGTGATTGTGTCACAGATACGAATAGTAATTGGTAACCTGTTTCACAAAAGACTATATCGTATTACAAAGAAATTACAACGCAATGATTTTTTGTGTTTTGCCGTTATTAATGTATATGCATTGTTTCTAAGTCTGTAAGCAGTGTCGTGGTTCATTATTGGACGGTATTTTACGAACGAAAGACCATTTATTAGTTTATAGGGGAGCATTAGGTTGTTTTTCAGACGACGGCGCCATAGAGGTTCTAGGGAAAGATGCTTGCATGTTTCGAGGTCGTCATTAGTAAAAGGAACTAGCTGGAAAACACCTACACCCTGGATTTACTAATCGTCAGAACTTATAAAGGAAAACGGGAGACTTATGTAGTTTATAAGTCAACCAATGCAAATCTAATTCTCTACTACATTGGAATCAACCCGTGAAATAACGAAATGAGCTATATGTATGTACTCTCAGTTTTGATGCTGCTACTGAATATAGGACGAATCTATTCATTCATATTACACACTGTTTTGAGAGCGTTTTGCTCTCTGCTGGTCGCATCGCAACATTTAACTCATTGGAAATGCTATGGGTAAACTCACGTTCCTGAGTGGCGGTTTCCTTATTTCGGCAGTGCGGAACATATAACGATTATTTGACAGTTGCATGAACTGGAGTTGCCTCTTCTTTAGTGTAGATAGTGGCAGATATAACGGCACTAGATACTGCATCCAATGTTTCCTCAGCTAGCATCAGAAGTACAAAGTGTGCATCGTCACCAAACAGCTCCTTCACCAGAGTAAGAAGCCTGGTGGTTCCTTACAGGGTAATCGCTTTAAAAGGACAATATTCCATACACAAGCAAAATAAAGTCGCTTAACTGCAACTTCACTCCGCGACTGGAGATATATTGGTTCATACATTGTGAAGCCATCTCGTGCTAAAACCGTAGTGCATATCATCTTCAAGAGGGAAGGTGAAAAATGCGAAAATACTTTGATGACTCTGGATGACCATAATAACAAGTATTATGTGCGTAAAATCAGAAGATTTCAAACAGCTAATCAATAAAGTTGAAAATCGTAACGGTATTACAGTAGCCACAAATATATAGAAGAATTGTAACTTTACCAGGTGATAATTAAAGCAAAAATGCTGGAAAAATTGTGGAAACAAAGTGATCAAAAACACAGAAAACAGTAAAAATGACCACACAGGAACCAACAAAATCTGAAGCAAATGATATCTGGGGTGAAAATTGTATGAAAAGTGCTTCGGAAACCTGAATAGCTCTGAAAGCAAAATATATAAGCGCAAATTGAATTTCTGGGTGAATAAATGCAACAGAAACCCAACGTTCTCAACACAGGGAATAAAAGAATGATAGAAATGCTAACAAAAGCTAGACTAATTGTTGGAAAAACTGGTCAACAAAGATGATAGTCAATGAGGTGAGAAAAAGTAAGTGATACATGAACATGATTTTAGTAGATAATTAGGAGACGAATAACAGTTACAATTAAATCAGGCAAATGTTTATTATCCATGGGTGAGTATTGGTTAATGAATAATCATTTCAAGTTATCCACTGAGGACGTTTCTGTATGTTAACTAGTGAATTAATGTCTCTCTTGAAGAGTGAAGGTTTTAAAAATTTGTAAACTTCGAGCTTAGGTATCTTGTGAGTTTTAAGTGTGCCTTCGTATTTTCGGTCAGATTTCAAGCATTATTTGAGTAGGTGGACAAGTTCTCTGTCATTAGTATTTCTACAGTGTGCTCTATGGTGACCATTTGAAGAGGATTTCCACTTAGTACATGAGTAATTTGAGTCGTGCACAAAACTTAGGTCCAAATAAGATATTCTTATAGGGTGAATTTCGAGCCGCATTCCACATTTCATTTCTCACACTATTAAATGATGAATTCCTGCAGTCTCTATTAGTGTGTATCAAAATTAGTATATCTCAATTTAATAATTTCTTATTCATATTCATGGAATGTTCCAAATGATCAATGGGAATATTCAAAAACTCGAAACGTTGCAGAAACTCGTGGCTCTCTCGACTCAGTAGCTAACATTTTGAACTCACTTAAAATTGGCATGCCTCTTTTAAAATGTGGTTATTTGGGAATAGCTTATCATTATTAAGTAGAAAATGTGATGGCGTTGCAAGCTAAAACGGTATAGGATTTTAGTCATCGAGTGAATATCAACTCTGCGACGCAGACATACACAGTTGATAAGTCTCAAATATGATGAAACGGGTGTACTGGATTCCATTATTACCCAACAACTGTTTATCTTTGTGATTGTTCGTGTGTTATAAAGAAATAAAGTGAGTGAAATTAACCTTCAATGAAAACTGGACAATGTTGGGCAAGTAAGTGATTATCTTACTCGAAATAAGGAAAAATCACTGAACACATACAGTCCATACACTGATTACACAACGTATAAAGCTGAATGCTCAGCATAGGGCTGCTGATTTTGTTGAATTGATCTAAATTAAACATTCACTGTAAATGTGTGACCACCGGGTGTTCGCTCAGTTTCGTGGATTGATACGAGTTGGACGTGTACACCATTGTTTCAGTGGTTTGGAAGTTAGGTATTTCAGCTTAAGCCTACAATTCCAGGGATCCGTTGCCATAGACGAAGTCGTGAATGTGTACTGCCGAATGACATAATCAGACGAAATCCCCTTACATTCCTTCCAAATTTTCAGTGATTCATGAACTTTTACGCCGTTTATGAATTCCATGAAACCGAATATTCCTTTTTCTATTTTATTCAGACTAGTGATAACCGAATTTAGTTAGGTTTTGCTCAAATTTGAATGTGAATTTATAATGTAGCTCATTCCTGATGCATGTTATGTTGTCAGAACGGAACATCTTATCATGAAAGTTTTTTTATAATTTTGTGATATCCCAAATGGGTTTCTGAAGCTTCGTCACTTAATGTAAATCTCTTTTTCAGTTTAGGGTAAAAATATTCAAATCAAATTAACTCACTTTGAAACAGCAAAAAGGGAACGAAACAGAATATTTAGTTCAATCAAAATTATTACGAAGAATAAATTGTAGTTTACTAAAAAACCTCTCAGTAATTTAGAAAAATCCCCGACTGTTACGTCCAATTTTTGCTCCTTCCTCGTTAGAAGTACGGTGTGTCGATCTATTTGCAATTCACGAACCCAAATCAATGACAAAACGAAACTCCAAAGTAGGTAACAAAGTTTATTCTTAATTCACAATAATCGACCAAAATGTCATTCGTTTATTACAAATAGACGACCAATGTCGTTCTAACAACAATAATTATAATAATTACAATTACTTTCAATTTTGTAGGTTCCTGGAGCAAAAAACTACAAACGAACAAACCAAGACAAACAGGAGTCCAAAAATGGCCGAAAGTAATAATTCAAACAAGTTCATAAGTTAAGTAAAACAAATATACCCAAAAAACACAGTGAAATTAGTGATATTTATACAAAGGGTCTAATCAGCCAAATGTCTTCATTTCTCCCGTAACACCGACCCCAGAACCGAAACTTGGAAAAAGTCCAAAGAAGCTGTCCTATACATGAGACTTTACGTTAACAAGCAAATGTAATCACCATGGGGTCTCCGGTATCGCCCACCGTTGCTAATTTGTTCATGTTCCATTTTGCCAGTACCATCAGATCACACACCTGTTTTCGATATGTAGATAATATATTTGTTGTCATTAAAAAGACTCTCCTCAGAATTTTCTCGAAAATGATGAACACTTTCCTAGGTCACATCAAATTCACAAAGCGAACTCCCATTCTTAAACTGTTAAGTTAAAAGGAATCCTAAAGATAATCTAACTACCTAGCAAAATCTGACTTATTCACGTAGGCAGAGGTATTTTAGCTGTGTACACTCTTTCAGTGGATAAAATGTTTTTACCGTAAATCTGTTCAGAAGAGCAATCAAGACCGTTTCTTGAGAAGAAGATAAGTTGAAGGTGATAGGTAATATGATAGGCAACTTAAGACCGATTAACTGTTAGTTTATAAAAGAAATCAGAACGCCCATAAATAAAAATTTTGCCGAAATGTCTTTATTTAGTACTTTGTTTTCACCCTACAGCTGATTCGGTACACGGAATTAAACTATGTGACTCTGTCCGAGTGATTTCCTTTTTATGAGCGATTCGTTTTGGGTAGCGAAGAGTAATACCATCGGTGGATTCATGCAGAAAGTTTTTATTGCTGTATTTTATTGCTGTCATTGCGCTGGAAACTGTGATCCCTACATTAGTGAAGTTAGCTTGCACAAAGTTTAAAACGGTACTGTTCTTGTATGTCTGTTTGAAAATGCGGCAGGTATTCGGAGCTTGATAACAATACTATCAAGGAGTTCAAAGACTATCTAGCTAGAAGTGGTTGATATACAAAAGACTGATGTGTGATGGTTGTTCATGAAGTTGACCAGGATCGGTAAACTGCCTTTAGGATGAACTGGCTAGAACCCAGTAAAATTTCACGCCCCCCATAGTGATTCATCACGATTGATTCAGAAAAATTACAGATATTTCCTACCTCAGTTTATTTCATTTTCACTGGGACACTTTACATAGTTTGTAGATCACATCAATACAAAATTCTACTCGTATAATGATCATTAAAAACACCAGGTGGTACGTCATGTTTTGATAGATGAATAAGTGTTGGATATGAGAATGTAAGTTATTCCTGGGAACTTCCTTCCAAGCGTCTAAATCCACCACAACTGTTAATTATATGAGTTACAGTGTAGCTAATTCGAAAGTACCAAACTAAAAACACATTTTAAGTGAAGTTTAGAGTTTAAAGTAAAATTTTTAAAAAAGATTACACACCCATGTCTAACATCTATCTCCTTCTTGATTAGAAATAGTCAGACAATACTTGCGGAAAACATATATTGTCAATTGAAATTGCCTAAGCTGTAGCGCGCCTAATCCGGTTTAACGCCTGTGGAAATGGGGCTGCGAGACAGAAGTCCGGCTGAAGGGAATTGTTTGGTTGGGAAGGTCTTGATTGAAGATCTACCGAAACGAGCTATTTCTCACAATGATATACGCGATTGGTTAAGAAAGTATGGAAACATTTCAGGTATGTTAACCAGATCTGAGCGAACCGGTATTCACTAAGGCACTATGGGAATCTTCGGAAAATTTCACTTTCATAATGTTTATTTAGCCGATCACTAACACTCCTAAACAAATTTGAGATTGGGAATCCGTAAGCTTTCATTTATGCTAGTTTCAAATGCAATGATTACTAGATATATCCGTGAAGTAGCATTGAGTCCTACTTTACTTAGGTGACGTTAAGAAATCTAGACATGCATATCATGCGTCTCATCCCGTTTGTAGTTTTCTGTGAGGTTTTTATATTAGTGGGACTCCGAGATTGACTTACTCTCACTTTTACGCGTTTTTTTATTATGTTTTATAGCTGATAAATTTCGATATATTTAGCAGAGTCTTTGCATTAGGTTAGGATGCTCTATTCACTGAATGGTTTGGAACACAACTGCTAGACCTCTAGAAGGCGATCAAGATGCATTTACTCGACTCGAGGTATGTCACCATGCCTCCGACCATTTTCTCGTCGTAACTGTGCAGTCTCTAGTTAGTCTGCATGTGTTATTGCTTGTACTTGGTTAAATATTTTCCTAAAAGAATTTTGTTTTCTCTTCCTATATACTACTATCAAAACTGGCATTACTTGAGGTGTGTGTTAGTGGTTTGACGTAACTCATCGACCAAGCTTTATGCCTACACTTGCATATTGGATTATTGCTATTGAGATTATTAAGAAATACTGAAATCAGGAATCTAAGCCATACATTATATCATTTTTAGCGGTGCAACGTAACAACCAAAATAGTTATTGGAGTAACAGTCAGTAATTAGTCACTCCAGATGCTAACGTCACTATCACTACCATGGCTACAGTTTCATAATGCACCTACTCTTTGACCTCCTACTCAAAATTTCTCTTTCAGAAATCGTGATATATCCACGCTGCTTACTTGTCCAGTTTGACTCTGATCTCGAGGCCGCTGGTGCTGTTCAGTGCGAGAATGGGGCATCACTTTTTGGCACCAAGGTCTCTTTAAAGCATATGGAAGCCAGTGACTTGAAGGCTCTACGTCGTGCAGGCCCACCCATCGATCGATTTTCCACAAGATCGCATAGACATTCTGGGTCTGATCGTGATCGTGACCGTGACCGTGATCGTGATCGCGATCGCGATCGGGATAAAAGTCGCGGATCCTTGCACCGTGATCGCTTACGAGGCAGAACTAAATCTCCAGATAACAGACGTTCTCGCGATATATCACCTCGCCGACACTCAAGATCGCCAATGTGAGTTTTTATTTGGATAAATTTTACTTTTTTCCGCATCTCTGTATGCAAGTGGTGATAGTAATTTGTCTATCCTGCGTTTTCAGGGATTGTCATATTTTTGATATTATAGTACCAATAAGTTATATTAGAGGTTCTTCTGGAAATTTAAATAATCTCGTTAGACTATGTGCAACATAGAACTAAATTTGTATCATGTCTTTTTGTGTTTCCGAGAAAATTGCGAAAAAGACTTAAATTCCATTCAATAAGAAAATGATTTTCTTGCAATATTGTGTGTCAGTGTGGTACTCAGAAACTAAACTCTGGTCCGTCTACAGTAATACTACTAGCCCTAACAAAAGGTGTAGCTCAAAGTCTCGTGAACTAACCTACACTTGATTATTGAATAACTTTTAATTGAAAGTGCGCATCCAGTATGCTCGGTTTTTTAGTACTATTCGCGGTTGGTTGTCATAAAACCTTTAGCTTAAAATGTCTAAAACTATTCGTAAACTACAGCTTCGTTTCGATCGGTGGGAAATCAAAGATACCGCGTCTATTTTTTCTATCGAGTGAAAGATGAAACGAGAAGGAGAATCAATCAAGACTCCCCATGATTTCAGAGAAAATAGAGTATATAGAAATAGAATCACCAGAAACGGTTCGAGAAAGTTATTCACAAAGCCATTTCTAGAGAAGTTTAATTATCAGTAAGTCCCGAGATAGCTGTATTTTAAATTCTAATTAGATCTCAGATGTAGAAAACATGGACTCGACGAAAATACGAAAATCTATTTGCATGTTGTAAGGTTACAGAATACACGAACCATTCAGTTAATAGTCTTAGGTTGTATAACTGGACAAAAATATTTTTGTACTTGTAGAATAATTTCACAGACATTCTTACTGATTCCCAGTCTCCACGTCCTGTGACTCAAAAATAGCATTTGGTTTCGTCAGTAGGAAGGCTTAAAGACAGGTTTTCTGAAAAATGTGAAGAAAAAAATGACCATTACACTCATCCTAGGATTGATTAGGAAGTTGATACAGACCTATTTTAATCACCAGCTATATTTACCTTCGTCAATACTGTTCATCTTTAGCATGATAACCTCAAAATACGCAAATTTTCAAAAGTTGATCTTTAGATATTGGCAAGTTCTAACAAACAAAATGAATGATTTTTACGTGTTTGGTATTTTCAAAACTACAGAATAATGCCATGTAATCAGTCTATACTGACCTATAATGCAGGAATACAATGAAGTAATGCAATGTATTATCCACATTGTGCACCTGTCTAGCTAAAAAAGTCTCTCCCCTTAAAGAAAAGTTTGCAGAGATACAAACAATTTGTTTACTATATGCCCAACTTGTATCAGTAAATGCATCTACTCCACAGTTGCTGATTTATAACGACATCTCCAGCCAAAAATTATGGTTGTTTCACAAAACCAAACCTAAAAACCTGTACCTTGTAACGCTAAAAACTCCTTCCTCACTTCCGCTACAATGAAGACTAAGCATGTATATAATTTTATAGTCGTTTGTGTACACTGTAGAGTTTTAATGAGGAGTATTGAGCATGTTTCTTAGAGCTAATAAATGTAGGAAAATGGGATTTTGTTATCAAGTACTCATTACTTTATATAGAGCGGTCTTTTATGTTTAGAAAGTAACATCGATTTTAGATAATCCAAAAGTTACTTTCTGTAGTATTAGAGTAGAGGATTTTTGTAGTTCAGTAGTAGCAGTAGTAGAATAAAATGAGTTTCAATAAGCTGTTTGTAATATTTCCTGAAATTCAACTTGTATATTTTATTTGCTATCTGTTAATGCTCACTTTTAATTCAATTATAGCACATCGCGTAGCGATCGGCGTACAGTTCATCCACTCAATTGGCTTTCAGAAGTTGCTGAACGTGATAAAAAGCTGTAAGATTTGTTTAATTGATTGATCTGTACTTCCGTAAATTATTATTTATTCATCATTCCATTCCTTTTTTTTTAATTTTTTTATTCCACGAGTTCATTGAATAAGTTGTTGGAAAACGGCGGTGGTGTTAGAATGCAGTTTCTAGGCTATCTGTGTACATTTTTCCCACATCAGCAGCATACTTAATGTATGTAGATCATGTGGTAGAAGTAATAGTGTCGAGATGAAATTATTAAAAACTAAAGAAGTAATAAAAACTAAGAATAAAACATAGTTTAAATCAATATTTTAAGAATTTAAAAAGAAAAACGATAGTGTAAATACTGTGAGATTTTAATATCTCCAGTTATTGATCTCGAACCACAATCAGCAAGTCTGCTGCATCACTCCAACCCCTATTAGTCAGTAAATTCATGTCTTTGTCCATAGTCTGTCTGATAACCATAAGGCTTGTCTTGTCATCCCAAAGACTGTATGCTGCACTGGCGATTGGTGTGCGTACGTGTGGCGTATCTTCATTAATATTCAAATTGGTAGGTGATCACCACCACAACCTTGTTGACTGACTTGTCTCTTTAACCTGTTCAAGCTTGACATTTACTTGACTTTATGATCGTTCACGTCTAAAACTCACTTGACGATAGATTACCCATTGTAAACGTATGAATAGTCTTATTCATTACAAACATCGCTCGGATAACTTCAATTTTTCACTGTCTTAGCAGATCTAAAATAGCTGTTAAAATATTAATAGACAGTGTTGATACCATCACATGTCACAGTCGATATCTCTCTAGTCCTTCATTAATCAATACTAAAAATAAATATCAGATGAAAAAATCTAGTCTATGGCTTTTTGAATATTTCAGAATGCCTCTCCATAGAATCATTACTTTGTGAAATAAACGCAAATACTTCGTACGTACATATACATACGTTCAGGTTGTCATACCATATTAGCATACAGATGCAAATGTCAATTCAAATCTCATAGTGATAGAGATAGTAGAAGTATTAGCAATAATGGAGAAGATCAGAGTTTGACTATATGCTTCGAGAAGTATAATTCAGTGAGATAACTTTAGAAAGAGAATGACAGAGATGATGAAGAATTCAGAAGATTAGAACTTGAGAGAACACAAAGAATAAATGCACCGGGACCATTGCAAACGATTTTGAGCCATGTCATTTAAGGTCTCTAACCATTGGTGGCCTTTGTCTCGCAGACCCCAATCAGGTAACCCACATCTACTAACATGACTCATACCAGTTGTCAGTGACTTAATGGATTTGTACCATGTTGTGGTTTGGCCGCCCCTAACTTTCTTCCAACCTTCTCCTACACCATAAAACATATAGCTCGTCGAGGCAGTCGGTGGTTAGGCATTCGTAACACATGTCCCAACCACCTCAACTGATGAAGTTTCAATACTTCATCTTGGGGCACAGTTTTGGAGGTTTGCATTTTTACACATTTGACCAATGGAGTTCAACCCTGTCGGGTGTAGGCAGTAACTACTACCAAAGACAAATGGGTGAGGTCGCGCGAAATCCCTAGATCAATCAGAGTTAGACATTAACACCGTTGGATACCGGCCCAGTGGTCCGATGGTTAGGCGTTTGCGCACAATACCGAAGGTCCCGGGTTCGAGTCCTGCGAGGTGCAGGAGTCGTGGATGCGCACTGCCACCGATGAGTCCCATACCAGGACGAAACGGCCGTTCAGTGCTTCCAGGTTTCTCATGGTGGTCTAACAATGATTGATTGATGATTTCAAATGTGTAAATACTTCATCTATTGATTTGCCATCGCTACGTAGTACTCGTAGGGATGGATGAGCCTAAATGCCATTTGAAATTGTGTTATTCAGCATTGATTATTGTTTACAGTCTTTTCTTATTTTTTTAAAAAAAATTTGTAATAGACTTGAATGCATGTAATTTAAGAATTATTTTTTGTTTGTTTGTTTGTTTATTAATTTTTATTTTTTTAGAAATGGATCCAGTCTTCTTGGTCCAGCTAATAATAATAATAATAATAATAATAGTAATAATAATAATAAATCCACTGAAAAACCTGCTACTAAATCACCACCTTATATGGTGGCCATCATAACTGTTCAACATGATCTTGTTCCATATGCGGAAATTATAGAACAACGTGTTACTAAAACTTTATCTACATCAGGAACTTCTTCTGTTACGCATATAGTTGTCCTACTGTCTGTTGATCATCTTGGTCCATGCTTAGTTGATCTTGCTAAAGATGGTGTTCCATTCGCAATTATTTGTACTATGACCAATTGGGCACATAATTCATGTACATTACGTATTCTTTATGCTCCAACTCAACAAGGTAATTTGTTCAGTATCTGGTTTCGATATATATATATATATATATATATATATATATATATATATATATATATATATATATATATATATATATATAGCGTATACAAGAGCACCTTGAAATGATGTTGAACAATAATTCACTGTTTTAAGCAGCAGTCTAAGCAAATGATGGATTTCATAAGTTCCAATCTTCTTCCATCCACTTTTGTTTGGATAACTTGGCAATAATTTGAGCCATCCTATTAAGGTGCCTGGCTCAGCAGCAGCAAAACAGATGAGACCATAGTTCATTTGTGCGTTGTATTAATTTATTCAATCTATAGAATACTGTCGTTTACGTATGTGTTGTGATGTTAACTTCGTTTAAATCGTGTAAATTTAGGTGCATTTTCAATCCAATCCTATGTTTAGCCAAAGTATTATTATAGATTAAGGATACTTTCTAATTGTCAGCAAGTCACTAGAACTGTGGTGGTGTTTCGTTCTCTGAGCTGGTTGTTTTGGTTGTGGAGCTTTCATTGTTCTTCTGAACAACATCATCAGCACAAACCTCAGAACGAAACACCACCACAATCATCCACCTGAGCTACAAGTTTTCTCCACCATCTCAAAGTCACTAGAACCCCTATCCAATGGTTATGGTGCATCAAATGTCACTATTTTGTTGTTCAGATGTCTGATAGAGTAGAGTAGTTCATCATTGATCACTTTTTTTTCAAACTATTGTGATCTATTGTGTCTCTACAACTACTTATATTATCATCACTGTGATTATTTACACTTTTATCATATTTAGTAATTAAGGTTGTTATTAGTCTGCTTTAAAGTTACCTACTAGTTATTAGTGTTTTGATAATTGGATGAAAAAGTTAAGGGTCAGTCAGTTAGTCAGTCAACCAGTTACAACTTAGAACTTTGTACTTACGTACATCAGTTCAAGTTGCTATACCACATTACCACAGAATTGATAAAATTGCCAATTCAAATCCCATATTAGTAGAGGTAGTAGAAGTATTAGCAGTAATCAGAGAGAGAGAGATTAGTGATTGAGGATTATTATTCAAGAAGTAAGAATCTAGTGGGATAACCGTGATGATGAAGAATCCAGAAGATAAGGATTTGAGAGAACACAAAGAATGAGAATGCACCTGCGCCATTGAAAACGGTTTTCAGCCATGTTGTTCAAGGTCTCTAACTATCTCGCGGACCCCAACCAGGTAGACTACACCCACCAACATGACTCAATCCACTTGTCAGTGACTGCATGAATTTGTGCCATGTTTTGGTTTGGCTGCTCCTAGGTTTCATCCAACCTATTCCTACATCATAAAACATAGCTCGTCGTGGCAGTCGGTGGTCGGGCATACATATCCCAACCACCTCAACTGATGAAGTTTCAACACTTCATCTATTGATCTGCCACCCTTATCTAGGACCCATTTCTTAACAACAGCATTGCTTACTCGGTTGTCCCATGATACACGAGCAATGCTTCGAAGAGTAATAATGAAATAATGTCGGAACAACACAACTGGATTTTCACAGCATCGATACAACGAATTAGTGCTGAAAACTGGTCTATGAATTTTATTCCATTCATCAGCAATTGCCATTATAAAGTGGTTTCATTTCAAACATTGAGTAGTAAGTAACACAACAACTACTTTACATGATCTTAATAACTGCTGTATTTGGATTATTACCCCAATACTATATGTATGTTAGATATTTATCCTTGTTCTAACAATAATTCTGCTTTAAAAGACCATCATTATTGCTTTTAGTCAATAAACATCCGTGGAAAGTTCCGAAGACCACGACGTTATTACTTTTTTCCTTTTAATCTAATTTGGTCAAACACCTGGTTTAATATCAATATTAGTATATTTCCCAAAAAGCTTACAAAAAATCAAGCATTGCTGACTACTATTTGTTTTTTAATTAAGCTAACCTTGGAAGTAGAGCTATGTGTTTTTCATATCTACTTCGCCTTATGATTTTGTTCGGGGTTCAGGTGTCGAAGATTGTTGTAAGTCTTTAGATTGACTAGAAGATTGATATGTCAACCGTTCCACATATCAGATATATCAGTGTTGTGTTATTTCAAGCATATTGTTTATTGAACTCAATCTGTAGTGAAGGAGAACACAGGTGAGGGCAACCGAATTGTATTTATCGCAAATTACAGAGTTAATCAGTAAAATAGAAAAACCATATCGTAAACGGTTAATTTGCAAATCTTTAATCCATCGTCAATCCATTGTTTGACATTTCACTATTCATGCGTTTCATACAAATTCCATTGTGTTCCCACTCTTCCTTTCTTGATCTTCCTCCATCTTCTGTTGCCAGACATTACGTTGACACTCACGTCATAAACTACTTATAAGTAGCGCGCACCACAACTCTACTATTTATTCAGTGTAGATTGTTTAGTTTTACTTATCAATACTTTCAATTTTAGATGGTTAGTCGACTTTTAACACTGCAGATTCTGCTAAAAAAGTCATTTTTGGTACTCAATAAAGCGGACTACAACCTAACTAATGTATTTAAGTTCCGTGCATGTGCTCAATAAGTTGTTAACTTTTAAGAATAATGAGGTTATGTTCATTTTAAGTAAAAGTTTGTGAAAGAAAATACATGGATGGCTGTTCAGTTTTGTTATTATTAGCTGAAGTAATGAAACTCCATCAGTTGAGTTGGTTGAGACATGTGCTGCGTATGCCTAACCACTGACTGCCTCGACGAGCTTTGTTTTGTAGTGTAGGAGTAGGTTAGAAGAAATCTAGGGGCGGCCAAACCAAAACATGGCACAAATTCATGAAATCATTGACAACTACATTGAGTCATGTTGGTTAAGTGTCGACTACCTGGTTAGAGACCCTGAATGACATGGCTCAAAACCGTTTTCAATGGCGCCGGTGCATTCTCATTCTTTGTGTTCTCTCAAATCCTAATCTTCTGAATTTTTCAACACCTCTAGTTTTGTCTTTCTAAACTTATCTCACTGAACCTATACTTCTTGAATAATATCTTCTAATCCTAACCTCTCCGATTACTTCTAAAATACCTTTACTACCTCTACTACTATTGGATTTGAATTGACGATTACATGTCTCTGTGCTAATGTGGTTTGGCAACATGAACTGATGTACTTACGTACGAAGTTCTACGTTGCATCTGACTGACTGACTGACTTTTGTTATTATGATAAACTGTGTTTTTCTTCCTTATATAAATCAACTTTCTCTAATGTTTATGACATTCTTCTACTGATGCTTTTTTCGTTTTTAATTTCCGGAGTAGAACATCGTAATATGCCTTTGGATGATGCATTAGTCTTACTTCATCGAGAATATTCTGCATATACAGCAAGTACTAAAGAAGAAGTTAATACTACTACTACGACTACTACTACTCCTCCAGACGATGCCAGTTTCTTTCCACCTAGTCGACATTTAGCCTCCCTACTTCACATGTTAGCTGACTCTCGTGTTTTAAGTGTTGGAGAATTGGATGAAATTGCTGTATTTGTACAAGAACGTAAGCATCGACTAGAAGGTCGACGTAATACTGCTAGCAGTGATGGTGAGTTTTGTAGTATTATTATTATTCAAGAGTAATAATTATTTATTTATTTATTTATCCATAAATCTTGCATCAATTTTTGTGATTCTCTCTTTTTTTATGAAATTCACTATCAATTCTCCATTATAATATAGGGTTGTGTTATTGTGATTGACTGTGATTCGCATTAATTTCGACCATCTAGGAATAATATGCATCGTGTATTTTCATGGCTATACGCATTGCTCGATCGGATCATTTACACAATGACTCATTGTAACTATTAGAGAAACAAAACATTCTTTCTGCATCATTCTTTCCATTGTGTTTATTGTGAAAAAAAAGATGGTTCTTTTACTTTGATAGTACAGTAGCAGTTGTCAGGCAACTCTGTCCTGGGCTCCCTTCTCCAGTTTTTTTATTCATTGTCTTGATGATGTCTGCCTTCGATTCTCGTTTGTTGTGTTCTTTCTTCATTTTTTCCTATTTTTCACTGTTACCTTGAGGACTTCATGTGTTAGGGCTTGTTTCACAATGCAGTATGATGATGGTTTCCATATTGCGTGTCCTATTTGTCTCCTTCGTCTTTCCTTGATGATTTTCTCTTTAAGTGCCAGTGCCTGACAGAGTAGGTCATTGCTATCGATTTCTGGCTAGTGAATCTGAAGTCTTACATAGTCGGCTGTTTGTAAATACCTGTCCGTTTTTTTTTAACTGACGGCTGTAGTAGTGAACCAAGTTTCAGCTCCATACCATAGAAGCGTTTTAATGTTAATGTTAAATGATACTTGTTTTTAAACTCCAGATATATTCCACTTGTAGAAAATTGCCCTTGTTTTCCAATTAGTAGTCCATTAACATCTGTATCGCATTCTCCTTGTTCATCACTGATGCTACCCAGGTATAAAAAGGATCCTACCTCTTCTCGGGCTTCGCCATCAACTGTGATTTGGTTTGTGCTTTCTCTGTTGTATTTCAGGATCTTAATTTTTCCCTCATAAATGTTGAGACCTACTGCTGTCGACTGACTGTCTGACTGCTGTAATAACACTAGCTGTCTCCATTCACATTTGTTGCTGTGTGTAAGATAGAGAGACAATTTCATCTGCAATATCCAACTGCTTCCAAGCTGTCCACTGTGTTGTATGCTTCACCTGAATTGTAGAAGTCTTCCCGTCTCAGTCTACAATCAGAATAACTAGAAAAGGCTAGAGTAAGCAGCCGTCATCAATTATAATGCATCTGTTAGATTCTCTCCAACCATGACTTGTCAGTTCAGTTCTTCGTGGGAGCTCCTCTGTATGCTAGTAAAGATCTTTTCATGTATTCTGCAGTGTTGAAAAAGATTCCTCAAGGTTTTCCTATGCACACAAAGAAGTTGATGCATAACAATGAGTTTACTTCATTTGATTGTCCAATAATAATTCTAATGCATTGAATCAATCGGACATTGGGTTAATTAACGCCGTAGGTCAAGATTTGACTCTACTTTCTAAGGCAGAATACCATTTGTTGAATATGTGGCTTTATATCCTACGGAAGATGTACATTTGTGAATAAGTGTACATATATTCTCAATTCACTTTTAGTTAATTAAGCTTCCTTCATACTCTCGGTGTTCTGGCTCAAATAGAAGTATGAGAGTTGGACGACCTTATATAGCAGATCCTTAGTGTCTCAGTTTAGCCGATACCTGATCTGTCCTTACCGAAACTAATCTGTTGATTTCAAATTGGTTGTCTCCTTAATCCTTCAGTCGGTTCAATAACATTAAACATTTTTCCTGGTACTGATGATAGTGTGATCCTTCCGTATTCCTCACACTTGCTACCATCTCTGGCACTTTAATGAGGCTTCTCTCTTACCAGTCTGTTGATATTCGGTTTTTCGCCTCTGTCTTTCTGAAAAGATCACTAAACATCATTTTAGTTGCCTTCATATCTGACTTGATTTCTTGAGCTGATCTTGCGTATGATCATGGTGCTCTAGCCATTTCTGGTTGGGTTTTCCTTGCCCCTTGTTCGCTACATTTACCCTCTTCTCTTGCAACCTACTCTTACACATATTTTCACTTGTCAGCTCTGGCGCTCTTCTTTACTCTTTGCTTGTTTCTGCTTATTCAACAAGTGCTCAACTTTATCAGCCTTTGTTCGGCTGTTGTTGATTGCTGTTTTTTTGTGTTTTCTATCTTTAGTTCTATCCAAACTTTCCTGTAAAAATCTATTCTTTATTTTGATGTTTCTTGGAGCTCAGCACCTGACATGTTGAAACTATTGCTTCTTTAGTATTCTCCGATATAGTTTTCTCTGCATTTAGTAGATTTTATAAGGCTTAAAACTTGCTACTTCTATCCATCCATTTTGAACCTGCTAAGCTTACTGGTATCCTGAAGGAAGGGTGTAAAACTTAAACTTTTTACTACTCGCCTGTTCAGTTGTCTAATGCTTCTTTAGCTTCAGTTTCAGTTCCAATCACCAATAGAATGTGATTTGAAGCTTTATCAACTATCTTGTTTGTTTTTCTGATGTCTTCAACTGACCTTTTTTTACGTTAGCCATTTGTGATCGATTTGCTTTTGCGTATTATTCTTCTTCTGTGAAAACTTCGTGTACGCGTTTATTGGAGGAAAATACACCAATGACCATGTTTTTGTTGGCACTCAGATAATACCAGTGTATAATAATCATCCTCATTGCTTTTCCTCAGTCCCCTTCATCTTTTTAATGATTTCGTATTCGGAAAGGCTACAGATAGAGTTTAGTTTTTTCTGGATTTGATAAACTAACCTTTATGATCTGCAACAATGCAGTTTCTGCTAGATTTTTTATACTCTTACAGCTCTCGTTAAGATTGTACTTTCTTAAAAAAAGTAATATAAATTTGCAACATTTGAAATGGTTGTTAATGATAAAGTTATTTGCTGAACTAGGCAATTTACAAACAATTTTTCTTCCTTTTTCATTCATATGCAAATTCTTGAATAACATCTTCGAGCCCTAATCTCTTCGATTACTTCTAATACTTTAACTGCCTCTACTGCTACTACTATGGGATTTGAATTGACAATTGCATCTCTGTGCTAATGTGTGGTATGGCAACTTGAACTTCTGTATTGACGTGCCAGGTTCTACGTTACTGTTGATGATGATGATGACAGTTGAAATCATAAAATATGATTTTTATAAATTATCTTAACACTTTATAGTCATTATTTTATGTTTCTCTGTCAATAGTCACATCATATTGTTTAATATGATGCTAATTCAGACATGATTATTTTATTGTGTTTTAACAAACAAAAAACAACTAGTACAATTTTTAGCACCAAATGAAACAGTTGCATAATGAGAAAATGTGATTGTCTATATAGATGGAGGGATAAAGGTTGAGTTTAATCAAAAGCTATGAAGTAATGTAATGGAAGAAGCAGTTCAGTTGAGAAAAATACAACTAGAAAGAATTCATTCATTCAAAGAAGTTCTTTCTTCTCCTATAGTAGTTGTAAAAGTGACTTACAGCATAATTGTTATTGGTTTGTGTTCCCCCTTTTTCTGACAATATCCTAACCCATTGAGTTGCACCATCTATTTCACTCCAACCAAAACATTGTAATCGATCGATAGATGCCAGTTTTAAACAGATTTCTTTTGTATACTCTAGTGTCATTTTAATCATCCTATCCATGCATTCATCGGCAAAAATCATCCGGAATGATATTCGTGATACATGTCCAGTAAATCGAAGTTAATGTATCAATATGATGACATCAACTGAATTATCATCACTGTGCATGAACCACATTGCCGGAGCTCTGTATTACAAACATGGTATTGTTACTGAACATCAGCAGTTCGTGAAAAAACACCGATGATCAAACACAGATCGCCGCTTCACATCCACGCATCCGAGTGGTCAAGTTTCACAAAACATAAAGCAAAAGTGCTCCCAATGACGCGTTGTGGACCTAACATTTTACATCCAAGCTAACATTGTAATATCGTCCTGTGTTCTACAATTAGGGGAAAAGGTATAAGCTTTTTATATGTTCATCGTAGGTAAATTAAAAAGGACACACCACTGACTTAGTTCCCATACACTGTACACTGCTGAGTGTGATCGCATCTTCATTCGGACATGGACTAACTACTCTGAATGAGATCTTACATATGTGGATACAAAACACGGATTATATCATCGTCAAAGCTTCCTGATATTTGAAAACGTGAGCATAACGCTCAAACACATTTGGCAACTTCTCTATTGCAATATGCACTTGTTTTGAAGTCCTGAAATACTGTTACCAACCGACTAATTTCGATTTATTTGGCTTGTATATCACTGCACGATGAGGCAATATCATCCGCATACTGAAGATCGAAAAATCTATCCTCAAATAATAAATCCACACTATCATCATCTACTTCTATCAGGTCCATTTCCAGGATGTCCCTGATGGTGAGGTTGAAGAGTAGTGGAGATACTGTGTAACCCCTCTTAACCCCACTGTTTGAATGAAACGGTAGAAAGAGGCGGACGCCTGTCCTGTTGGATTGCAATATGTATGACAGATCAGTTCACAGTCAATCAGTTACAACGTAGAACTTCATACATGAGTACATTAGTTCACGTTGCCAGTTATGGAAAAGTCTGTTCGATGTCACTAGGGCGGCAGAACGGCCGAACAGTCGCTCGAAGAATTCTGTCTGTTGTCCAACATACAGTTGCATATTGTTGATAAGCGTCCCATCAGCTTCATAGATTATCTCAAACTAACTTCTTGCTTCCAGTGGCTTTGATGAGTTGAAATAGCTTTCAGCAATTACCTAATGCATCAGCTGTTTCCAACTCGTTAGTTCCTTCCGCTCACCAAGTTTCCCGCTTCTTGCGCCAACTTTAGACCTTCATTACATATGAGTCTACGTTTATTGTCAAACTTACGATTACGCAGCGCAGACCGACGAGCCATAAGTAGTTGTAAAGAACCTGAAGAAACCAAGTGTTTATAAGAGGTTTTGCAAACCACTAGAAAGGAGTCTTGACTTAAAGTTTTCTGGGTATAATACAAATACATTTAACACTGGTCTATTCATTCGAAAGGACTGACTCCTGACCCTTAGCCTAACTTGGTTTGATATCTGGTTATAACAGAAGCTACTCATCCATTTCAGTCGTGATGTTCAGTAGCCACTAAAGCACAAGATAAGTCTGACATCACTCTAAAATGGGTGGAAGACTTGTACAAAACCACTTCATCGATTACAGATCTTGATGTGGTCAATGTGAGTTTACGTTCGATATGCGGATAAAGAATGCCAGGTGGCACATCAGCGGTGACAGTTCTGAAAGTTGGTGCCGGTCAAGAACTGGTTATCTGCACACGGTTGAAGATGTTCACCGTGATCTAACCTGAGATCGTAAGCGCTTTCTTGGTAGAACTCACCCTCCATCGCACCTGGGGCATCGGCGAAAATAACGAAAATATATCGTTTCTCACCAATTCTTCGCTTTGGTTGAGCTTCCTAGTCTAACGGCGCACAGTCGACTTTATGAGAATGCAACTGATTAGTGGTGCCTCTGCTGTGGGTCTTTGTGCAACAACAGCCAACACAGGACAAGGATGCTACAGGGTGCCCGGATGAATACATATGGAACCGGATTTTTGACTAAACAGTTTTAAAACTTATATTGCTTAGTTAAAATCTTGAACATGGGTCTTGGAAATACAGCACTCATTAATTTCCAAAGTTTCCAAAAATATAACCAAACCTATCTGCTTTCCAAACTGTATCTATCAGTGTGTGAGCGTTGAAATAGATCAATCTGAATAGCGCATGCTGTTTCTGATAGCCTTATTGAGAATCTTATTCAGCAAATGCGCTGAAAATTTCTATCAGTCCAGTGACTGAAGTCAGTCCATCCACTGTTCATTCATTCAGGGCCCTGTAACCAGAGTTTTTCAACTTCCTTAAGTGGGTTTTCTGTATCCACTAATCCTTTTAATATGTACCACATTCGCACCTCATTCTCCCACTTAATAAACAACACTGTCCGTCACCTCAAGAAGACAGTGAATTGAACTTCCCTCTCAAGGCGCTATGGCTATGTGGGGCTATATGAGACCATTTCGAATTGAATAGGCTCTTCTCATCCTCTGTCGTATATTTTACCTTCCAACATGACATCTTTTGTCTTGTTATGGTAAAAAACTATACGTCCTGTTTTATTTTTTAAATGATAAATAAATACATGGTCTCATGTCAAACTTGACAAGTTTCGTTAAATAGCGCCTAACACATTTATTCTCCTGATAACATCCTTGTTATCAAATCTATATGTGTTTTATTGAGAGTATAACTAATGTCTTTTTTTTCTCCTGATTTTTCTTTCCCTTGCTAATTGATTCACAATAAATATATCGCGTGTGAATTCGGGGAATTCTCTTATATATGTATGTATATGTATATATATCACGTCATTGTTTTGCGCTACTACTACTTTTAATCCAATTTGATCTTCACATATCTCGTAAATTCTAAACAAACAAATGAACGAATCATAAACATTGACGACTGACTTACTATATGTATATATATTAAAGCCGGTGTATGCAATGAGAATACAGCTGAGTTGAAATCAAGAATTTTAAGTATGCTTTATCCTCAACCTACTAGTTCTACTGTAACAACTACAAACACTGCTTCTTCCAATCTACCAATTGATACAATTCATCAAACTCAACCTTTAACAACTACTAGTATCGGTAATAAACTAGCTGAAAATTTAACTAATCCTATTGTACAAAAAGCTATCGATACATTAATGTCATATCCGTCTCAAAATTCAACACAAAAGTCACTAAGTAATACTAATAATAATAATAATAATAATAACAGTAATAATACTATGGAAACACAAAATGTACAATCGAAAAACTCTTTTCGTAACAATGTGAAAGTGCATTCTTCATCGACAATTGCTCCAGCATATCCATCTAATAATAATAATAATAGTATCAATAACAATAGTAATAATAATATGAAGCAACCTACCAATTGGAATTATGAAGATAATAGTTTTCGACAAAATCGTCCACCTATTACAAATGACTATAATCAAAATATTCCTTATGGACAGCATACTAGACCTAATATGCTTCAACAACGTGAATATCCCAGTGAAGAATCACGAAAAGGTCCTGGTTACATGGAACATACAGGTCAAAGAGGTGCTTATCATCCGGAATTCGATATACATGAACCAATTCTTGATCCAAATGAAGAATTCACAGAAGAAGGAGCTTATCCAGGAGGTTGGCCTAGAAGAAAACGAAAAAAACGAGGTGGTAAAACTATTTCAAGTGAATCATCATATCAATATCTTGATCCTAAAAATTATACACGTCAACCTATTGATCAATCATCAACTCAACAACCACTTGATCTTATGTCTACTGAAATTCATCCAATCGGTAGTGTAGCCGATGCATATAAATATTCTCAAGCTCCTCCTCTTATATTCAATTCAGGAATACGTGCTAGATCACAAAGAATGAACGGTGCAAATGCTGCATCCTATAACAATTACAATTATCAATCATTTGGATCGCATCAATCGAATCAGTTAAATCATCTACATACCCAATCGTATGGTGGTTATCCAAATCCATCTACATTTTATTAGCATTTTTAAAAAAAAAATATATGTGTCTGTGTGTGTGTGTGTGCGTGTTTTTCTTCTTCTTAAAGATTAGCTTCAATGGTTTGTAACCAACTTTTTGCTTACACTTTCGAATGATATATTTTGTTAAAAATTATTAACGAAAGTGCTCTCTCACATCACTCACTCACTCCACTATACAGACACAGCATATGAACAAACTAAATGAAATACAAATGTGTAAAATTCATGAGTAATTTTGTGTTTTCTTTCTCGAAAATGAAAAAAACAGAAAAAAAACATGGTTGATTCTCTTTTTTTTCTCCTTTCTGTTTTTTTTTGTTTGTCACACACACACACACACATGCTTGTTGTATTATGCCAGCACTTCATCTCCTTCCTGTGTGTGTGTGTGTGTGTGTTTGTTTGTTCGTTATCAATTATGCATTCATCATGTTCATCAATTTTCAACTAAAAACAATATAAGTTCTTATGAAAAGTTGTTGTTCTTTCTTTTTTTTTCCTTCTTTGTCATTAAAAATCAATAATGTTGTTGTGTTGTTGTGGTATTAGTTTATTAACATTTGCGTTCAAAATATTATTAGTACCACAACTGTAACCGCTTCAACGTAATCGTGTACTTTTTAATGGGTATGGGGGCGGATGTGAATTCTCGGCTGTTCCCTACATTGTGGCAGGGTTCTGGTTCGTCCGGAGAGGTATCGGTCTCATAACTCTCGAAGGAACTTTGCTTCCATGATGAGACGTTATAATTCCCAGAGCAGAGTTTATATAGTTTGAATTATTCTTTATTGTTTGCGTTTATTTTGGCAAGTTAGTGTATTTTGCGGGATTGGGGTTGCCAACCGACGTCCAAGCCTCTTCCGGGCTTGGGACTGGCAGTAGCCCCAAAAAAGGGGTCTACAGGCGGAGTTAACCATCCAACTGGTTTGATCTGAATTATTATTATTGTGATTGTTATTGTCAGTGCTGCTGTAACATCCATTGTATAATTGAGGAACAGTGAAAGTGAATTGTGCAACTAGTTCAGTTACTCATAGTGTGGTGTGAGCTACTTATAAGTAGTATATGACGTGAGTGTCAACGTAATGTCTGGCAGCAGAAGATGGGGGAAGATCAACAAGAAAGAAAGGGTGGGAACACAATGGAATTTGTATGAAACGCATGAATAGTGACAATGGGTTGACGATGTTTTGCAACAGGAACAGTCCAGTTCGATATGATGAACTGATATTTTGCAAATTAAAACGATTTACGATATGGTTTTCCGATTTTACTGAGTAACTCTGTAATTTTCGTTAAATATACAATTCGGTTGCCCCACCTGCGTTCTCGTTCACTACAATAGTACCAACAGAATTTAGCAATGATTTTTCTGTCAAATACCAAACTTCAAATCATCTGCACACATTGACTACATATTATCATCTATCATCATATTCCGATAATGTTAATCATCGATGGTTTTTTGAATTTAACGAACACAACCCTGTATGTGACGACTCTATGACACATATCCATGAAGTCACTGACGACAACTCAATCGAACCATGTTATGGTAGTTGCAGATTATCTGATTAAGATCCGCAAGACCATACATACTAGCCGATGGTTAGATGGTTCAAAATCGTTTGTAAATGGCACAAGTGCATCCATTCTTTGTCTTGTCTCTCTTATGCGCTCAGGACACACTTTCATATTTCTTTATAAATTTATTTCACTAGATTATACTTCTTGAATCATATCTTCGAACCTTAGTATTTTCCATAACCACTAATACTACTACAACCTCTACTAACTACACTATGAGATTTGAATTGAAACTTCCATCTCTCTGTGTGTATGTGTGTGTGTGCTATTGTGGTATTATGCCAACTTGGACACTGATGTATGTACACGTACAAAGTTCAACATTTTAGCTGTCTTAATTAATCAACTACTATCTCATCAGGTTATAATATTCAGCTAATAAATCAAGTAAACATCCATTAATAATAGTCTTCTATGGATTCTATTTTGTATAATGGGTATTTATATAAATTAAAGATAATTGTCTGAATAATTTCAGAAAATAATAATAATAATATTAGTAATGATAAACATCGTGTACAAGTCATTGATTGGATTTAAAAGTGTTCAGATACAATGAGTTTTTAAAATAATCCACTTACTGTATCGTAGTACTCTGTTTATCCCGATCGTAGCTGTTACCTTGACACGTGGTTGTCGAGCTTGCCTGTCGTGATGACCCAACCGAGCTATATTGGCTAGGACGTATGTTCCTGTAGGTTCTAACATGCTAGGCAGGTCGATTGGAGAATGATGAGATTAAAAGCAGCTACTCAAGGTCTGAGGGTGAAGTCGTGCTGCTGACTGTAGAGGGGGGTGATAGCAGTAAGGTGTTTCCCTAGGACAACCAGCATCTGCAGCGATACTGCCTTGTCACAAGGAAGGAAGGGTTAGAAAAGGTCGACCCTACAAATGTCACACCTCACCTTACCTCACAGATTTCCGTCTTCGGCCGTAGGGGCTTTTGCACAGAACGGAGGTAACACTTCAAAAACCTCCCATAAAAAGGCTGTACGTGGCAGGCCTCAAGCAGTTGTCCCTTGGACTCTGCGGTCACGCTCGCAGGTCCCAACGACCAACATTAATCTACCTTCCTTTTCAAGTTCCCCAAGAACACCCACGGTTTAGACAGCCGGGAAGTGACAACCGCCCTCATACCCGTACCAACACGCGAAACCAAACTGGTCAAAATCAAATCCTTCCTACACCCCCGAACACTTCTTTTATCTCCACGATTAACTCTTCTCATATTCCTTTATCCTCCGTACCGCTAGAGCAAACGATGCAAGTTCACGAAAAGTTATTCTTGGTCTCCTGAAACCCCGTTCTAGACTCCATGTTAGAGCTTTTAAAGAACCGACTTGGTCTACTCTTCGTGCATCTGGTACCCCTGATGCTACTTCCCGGGGTTTCGCTGGCATAAGTATAGCATTGAGTCCTAGGGCAGAACTAGCTCTCCTAGACTGGATCCCAGTAGATGGTTGCTTGTCCCCTGTCTGACTGAACGGAACAGCAAGAATTCGGAAACATAGGGACACTGGCTGTTGCCTCTGTCGTAGCTGCCTACGCTCCCACTGACTGCAGTTCAGATAATGTGAAAGATGAGTTCTACAGAAAGCTCTCAGACCTCCGAAAACTTAGGCACACTAATAAAGTAATAATGGCTGGTGACTTGAATGCTCAAGTAGACAGACTAAGTGAAAAGGATAGACAACTGGGTGGGTCTTATGGTGTCGCTGCTAATAGAACAGATAATGGCGACCATTTGTTGCAACTATGCTCAGATGACCGCCTATTTTTAGCAAAATCTAACTTTAGGCACAAGGAAAAACATCTTTTGATCTGTCAACCCCAAAGTCGTCTGAACGTTCGACCCAACTAGATCACATTGCCATCAGCCACCGATGGAGGGGTTCGATAGAGGACTGTCGCTCCTTCTGGGACACATATTTAGATTCAGATCATGCCCTAGTGCGAGCGCGTATTTGTTTGAGGCCTACCGGACGTAGGAAAGACACGGCAAGGAAATCTCTTAGGGTTCTACTTAATGATAGCAGAGCTATGAATATATTTCAGGAGCAACTAGAAAGATAGTTAGGCGACTGTGTATTGATTCCCATCCGGAGGCAGGCAGTGATATCTGCTAATAAGGTAAGGCTAGGAAGATGCCGTGGTTCTTAGTAGCATCCGCCGAACTGATGGGTGCTCGAAAACTCATCCCACCTGGCTCTGAACATGATGGAGAGCGAAGTCAGCTTAGGCGCAGGCTGATAAAAAGCCTACGTGACGACCGCGAACAGTGGTGGGTGGCGAAAGCAAAAGCGATGGAAAAGGCTGCGACGACTGGAGACAGTAGACAGCTATTCAGACTCATCAAGGAAACTGGTATTAGGAACCCAAATATGAGTTTGACCATTTTGGAAAAGGATGGTCTTATTATCCATTCTCAATCGAGGAGGCTGGACCTATGTGCAGAACACTAGGGATCAGTTCAACTGGCCACGAGCCACACTTTGGTTACCCACGATCTCCAGTCATCCTGAATGGCACATCAATATAAGTCCTCCGAGCAGTTTTGAAGTTGAGAAAGCTATAGGAAATCTGAAGCGAAGAAGAACAGCAGAGCTTGATAGGCTTGAGATTTTTAAGGATGATGGTCCTGTTTTAGCAGCTAGGCTGACTGAGGTCTTAGTTAGAATTTGGGAACGGTGTATTTCCGTCTGACCGGTCTCAGTCACTGACTATCCTAGTCTATTAGAAAGGACACAAGTCCTCTTGTGACAACCACAATGGAATAAGTCTAACTAATATAGTATCTAAAATATTGGCTTCAGTAATACTTAAACGCTTAGAAAAGCTCATGGAGAGCAGACTAGAGAAAACCAGTCTGGTTTTCGATCTGGACGTGGTTGTATAGCACACATCTTCACACTACGACAGGTCCTGGAACACGGACACACATTTAGGCGTCCTACAATAGTTGTCTTCCTGAAACTTAAGGCGGCATTTGACTCTGTCGATCGTGAGGTTCTGTGGCAGTCTCTGTCGTTAAAAGGTGCACCAAAGAAATACGCTGACTTCATAAAAGCTCTCTACTCGAACACCACTGGTCGAGTGAGAGCCTATGGCGAGCCGTCATCGGGATTCATTATTTCAAGTGGTGTCCATCAGGGATGTCCACTTCCCGCATTCTTGTTCAATTTTGTCATAGACATGCCGCTAGATATAACATTATGTTCTTCTGAATTTCCAGGAGTGGACCTTCTACCAGGGAAATCGCTTGCTGACCTAGAATATGCCCATGACATAGTTCAATTTGTGAAGACGCTGACAAAATGCATGCTTGCATTGTTGCAAGCATGTTCGAAATGTGGTTTCCCCCCTCGAAATGCAAAATGTTGCTTCAAGATTGGGTTGCATCGGCACCTGAACTACTGATAGGGAGTGAAGTAGTCGAGCGTGTTGATCACTTCACTTATCTGGGGAGTCTCGTCAGTGCTAATGGCTTGGTGACTGACGAAATCTCAGCTCGGATACAGAAGGCTCGATTAGCTTTTGCCAACCTGCGTCACTTATGGCGTAGGCGAGATATCCGTTTGCTAACGAAAGGTCGTTTATACTGTGCAGCAGTTCGCTCCGTCCTGCTATATGGATGCGAAATATGGCCGGTGAGAGTAGAGAACATTTGTAGGTTGCTTGCCTTCGATCATTGGTGTATCCGAAGCATTGCTCGTATATCGTGGTACAGCCGAGTAAGCAATGCTGTTGTTAGGAAACGATTACTAGGTGGGGATGGCAGATCAACTGATGAAGTATTGAAACTTCATCAGTTGAGGTGGTTGGGACATGTGTTACGAATTCACAACCAGAGACTGCCTCGACGAGCTATGTTTTGCGATATAGGA